TATATATTTAGGCTCTTTTTTCCTTTAATGTGCTTTGAAAATAAGTATTTAATTAAAAGTATTGTGCCTTTAAATAAGTACGAGTATCTATTACGGAAGTTCTAGCCCCCTTTACCCACCTAAAGGTCGCTCATTTATACAATGTAATTAACCAAAGCATATAAGAATAACTAAAAAAACATTAAAATAAAAAAATCTTACCTACATAATACTAGAGTTCAATAATGTTTTTAATTATTTTTTAAGAATTAACCATAATTTCACAATTAAATAATTTCAATTGACATTGCAAATTCAAATTGTACGGAATTATATTACCCTTTTTCTCTAATTAGAATATTCAGCTGCGGCGTCAGCAAAAATTAATCTATTTATGTACAATTTACCAAGTTGTTTATATAATTTTCCGAGCAATTGATTTTAAATTGCTTATTTAATAAAACTTGATTTGCGTAAAATATTTTTTATTCGACATTTTATAACTTCCTTAATAAATGTCTATACACGTAACAGAAAACACTGTCATAATCATTAAATGAACAATAAACTTTCTTTTTAATGGCATTGTGACTTGAGATAATTAACCACTCTTCTACTGTGCAGAATTATAAAATATAATAGAGAAGAATAGATCATTATTATTATAATACATTCAGTAAGTATCTTTGTTCCGTTTATCATGTTATATCCTAAATACGTAGACTAGAGCGTGAAACGTATTTAGTAATAATAACTAAAGAAATTAAAAATTTCAAAAAAACATATTTTTGATTTGGGCTACTGCATATCATTTTTCAATTTTCATACATATTTCGAATTTACGTACGACAACCAGTTATAACTAAGTGGTGTTTTATGGGTTGCATATATCAGATAAAATACGAAATAGTATTTATTAAATGATTAATAGTGATGATTATTGACACTTTCAACCAATCAATAGGACATTTTTATATTCAGATATCGAACGTTTTAATTTATAAAATATAAAATGTTATTTGCTAACACGATAACACATGCCGCACGCATATGTATTATTTCTTGCCTTATTTGTAATATTAAATGTGTAGGTAACGCATAATCCAGTAGGTGGATAAGTATAGGTGCACATTTTGTTGCATGCAAATGTGAATATCGACAAAAATCTGTTGTGTAATATAATTTGTTCATACAGTAGAATTGTCAAATATATTAACCTATAAATCAGTCAAAACTAAACATTTCTATGAATATTTTTAATTTATAAATTCAGTTCAAAAATGTTCTAAAAATCATTGTACATATACAGTAGGGTGGCCCAAAAAAAACGAATATTTTTTTCCTGTCTTTTGTGAAAATATGTTAGTTTATCATGTTTTAAGAGTCCTCCACAAATAAATAACCACACTTAAATTTTAAAAAATTAAAAAATTATAAATAGTTGATATAGTAGTGCGGTAGTAAATTTTGCCTCGAGAATTTTTTTAAGTGTCTCGTGATTTATTTCTATTATTTTTTCATCAAATTCAATAAAAAAAAATATTAGTTCGCTGATATTTATTTTTAGAGATTGCTCGAAAACATTTTAGGTGTACACTACTCTGAAAGTTAAAATAATTATGAGTGACCTTTAGAAATTAAAATATTGATTTTAAATTTTCAGAATCGAGATTTTTTTCAACCTAGAAAATGATAAAACTTCGAGAAAAAAAATTTAAAAAAAAATTCAATTTTTGACGATTTTGGAAATTTTTAAAAATCTTGAGCGACCTTTAAAAAAAATTTTTTGAGCTGATTTTTTGAGGGAGCTCTTAAAACATGATAAACTAGCATATTTTCACAAGAGGCACGAAAAAAGAAATGTTCGTTTTTTCTGGGCCACCCTAAATGAAAATATTTCTTTAAAGTTTAATATTCTATAAAAATATATCTGATGTTCTTGTGATTTGATTTCAAATTCAAAAGCGGGAAATTAACGTAATTTTTACAACTAGGTATCTATAATTGTAAGATTCGATCGACTTACCTGTAAGGAAGATCAATCTCAATTATTTGAGCATCGTAGTTCTTCTATGATGGGGCCCACCCGCCACTCTTTTTTTTTACCCACAGCGCGATTGGTTCGGTCACAAAATGAACTGGCTGGCTATCAATAAGTAGTAACGGACTGTTACGAAACACTTTTTTCCTTTAAACCTGTGCGCGCGTCATGTATAAGTGAGACCTACCAACATGAATCATAGAAGAACGGAGATGCGAAAAATAATTTGGTGCTAGATTTAAATAACTTAACATATTACGCCACATTAAGTAATTACATAATTTTTATTGGTATATTTGTTTATTTTTGTCTGTTATTAGAATGAATCATTTAGTAATTTAATATGAGACATACCTACCTATATTTCTTAGTATTAATGAAAAAAAAGTTTGATATTGGGAAATCTTAATACGTATTTATTTTTTAAATTATATTATCTTTAATATCGACTGTAGACATTTGTCTCTTTTACTATAGTTTATTTGTGGTCAATTTCTAAATTTATATCTGCAATAATGTTCTGGAATGTAAATATGCAAATCACTAATAACAGATAAAAAATAATAATATTGCTGTTTGATTAATAATTTTTACATAAACCAACCATTTTAAGATTATAATTTAAGTGACTTTAAGAGTAATGCATTAATTGTAAAACAAAATATTTACCCTTTGCATGCGTTTTATAAGATAGGTAATAACTATTATGAAAATAAATATACATTTTTTTAGAAATGTTATCCAAATAATGTATGTGCCTACAGATCATAAATGATACAAATTTCAGTGACAAAACCGTCCATAAAATATCAGTTTTTTCAATTCGAATCTTAAATGCTATTAAAGGAGTTGATATATTATTATGTATACAGGGTGTTTCATAACAATGTGCAAATATTTTAATGTAATTCTAAGGAGAAAGTAATTTTAGGGGGGTACTTCCAATACATTTTTTTCATTTGAGCCCCCCTTCTATCCTATAAAGTTTTTATCTAAAAAGATACAAGGTGTTAGTTAAACTTAACTTAAAAAATATTTTTAATTTTTTTAAATAATTTAAAAACTAGTAGGTAAGTGAAATAATTTGAAATTGGGCAGATGTATTTAAGTAAACAATGTCCAAAATCTTCTAAAATTTAAATGCTTCAGTGACGGAGATACAGGGAATCGGTGACATATTTTTCTAAATAAAATAGTACGCCACTGCTTTACGGTATTTTCGTATTCGTCTTTCAATTTTCTACAAATTAGTACTCTCTTATGTTTTTCAAGGAAGATGGATTTTCGAGTAAAACTTAAAAAACTAATTGAAAACAACAGACCTCAACCCACTGGATTTCTTTTTGTGGTGTGCGGTTAAACGGCTGGTATACAGTGAACAAATTAATACACCTGAACAGTTAGAAGAAAGAATAAATAATGCTTTTCATCAGATTCAAGCATCGATAAATTTCGAACAAATTACATTTTCGTTAGTAAAAAAGGTGTCACGCTTCTGTTCTTGGAAATGGGGGTATTTTTGAGCATTTACTGAAATAAAATCATTAAAATGATGACTAAGGTTATTAATTTCTTTATTCATTTATATAACCGAATGATTAGTACTCGTCATGCCATTGTCTTCAGTTCGCTTATTAAGTTTTACTCGAAAATCAGGCTGTTTTCGAAAAACATAAGAGACTAGAGGAGAGTTGTAGAAAATTGAAAGATGAATCCGAAAATATCATGATTGTTACCGTAAAGCAGTGGCATACTATTTTATATAGAAAAATATGCCACCGATACCCTGTATCTCCGTCACTGGAGCATATAAATTTTAGAGAAAGGTCTCAAATTTTGGACAATGTTTATATAAATACATGCGCCTAATTTCAAATTATTTCACTTACTAGTTTTTAAATGGTTATATAAAAAAATTTAAAATATTTTTTTAAGTTTAATACCCTGTATCTTTTTAACGGAGCATCCTAGATAAAAACTTTATAGGAAAGGCTCGCCTTGTATATATATACAGAGTGTCCCGAAATTCATGCAACAAAATTTGGTCATAGATTCGTAAGACAAATTTAGGGTACCCGTATTTTTTCTTTTTGCCTACTGGCATCCTCTTTCGGAGTTACAGCCCCCTGAAATTTGCCCCTAAGAAGTCTTTTTTATATCTCAAAACCATGTTGTACGAGAGTCACTAAATTTGGTACACAGGGGTTTTATAACATGTGGAATCTCACAGTGCTACGCTTTTTGTCGAGAAACCCCCTTAAGACACTTTTTCGTAGGCCCCCTTGTTTTTAGAACCAGAAAAATTTGGTAGCAAATTTGATTTTTTTTTTAAATTATTAGTTAGCTGGAAAGCCACTGAATTTAGAAACTATTTCGTCTCTTGCTATTTGTTTCGTAAAACACAATGTTTTTGAGGAAAATGGCGAATCACGATATGCATTCGATCACATTTTGACATTTTTCTCGAAAACATTGCGTTTTACGAAAAAGTATAAAGAGACAAAAAGTTTCTAAATTTAATGGCTTTCTAGTGGACTAGACTTTAAGAAATTTAAATATGCGACCAAATTTTTTTGGCTCCAAAGCCAAGGGGGCCCACGAAAAATTGTCTTAAGGGGGTTCCCCGCCAAAAAACATAGCACCATCAGATTCTACATGTCATAAAACCCCTGTGTACCAAATTTAGTGATTCTCGTACAACAGGGATCCGAGATATAACAAAAAGATTATTCTTAGGGGCGGATTTCAAGGGGCTGTAACTCCGAAAGAGAGGGCCACTTGGCAAAAATAAAAAATATGGGTCCCCTAAATTTGTCTTAAGAATCTGTGACCAAATTATGTTGCATGAATTTCGGTACACCCTGTATATATAAAGATGTAATAGTCAAAGATTCATTCAAAGATTTCTTATAATTTCTTAATTTTGTATACCTACATATAATGAACGTAATTGTAAATAACATTAAAAATTATTTTTCAGACAAAAAATGTTACGAAAGGTGTCGCTCCTCCTTATGGGAGCCGTTATGGTCATTGCTCAAAGGAGACTAGCCCTACCTGATCCAAGAAGTTGCGCAAACAGTAAGTCAATTTTATAAAAAAATATTGTTTTCTTGCCTATAGGCAAACTAACAAAAAAACTGAAAATCGTCAATAAATTAGCTTTTATAAAAAAGTTAAAATAACTACCTATAAGTACATCATTTATTTGTGTACTAGGTTTCAGTGATATTTTTCTTTATATACCTAATATTTTTATATTATATGTATATATTCTCTCAGAAACAAAAATATTGAAAGTATTGTCGAACTTACTTTAATATTTTTCTTATAAATATATTTTCTATATATATATTTAAAATTATTTTATAATTATTGATGAAGTCTTGACAAGGAAAAAAGTCGTGGAATTTCTAAATACAGAATAATTAGAATGTTGAAAAATATACCTATAAGTATACCTACACAATCTTATATATAAAATTCTCGTGTCACAATGTTCGTTCCCGTACTCCTCCGAAACGGCTTGACCGATTCTCATGAAATTTTGTGAGCATATTGAGTAGGTCTGAGAATCGACCAACATCTATTTTTCATACCCCTTAATGTTAAGGGTGGTCCACCCCAAAATTTTTTTTTTATTTTTTGGACAAAATTTTCTGTTTTTATTTTTTAAACAACGTTTGCCGGGTCAGCTAGTATAAATATAATATTACACTACGTACAGACCCAGAAAACAAAATTACTTTTGATAACGATTCTATAAAAAGTTTTCAAAATTAGACAATATTCTCTGTAATATGATATAAAAAAAATGTAAGTATTCATTTTAAAAAACATAGCTTGTTCAAAACACATTTTGATCATGCACTACTGACCAGTCCATTATATTAATGTTTGCGTTCAAACAACACTACTAGAGAAGAAAGCGTGCTAAATGTTTGAACTAAATTTTCATTGATCCGTCTCCTTTTAATTTTTGTTAGACAAATGGAAGAGATTGTAATATCTTTTTGATATATCTAAGATATATTGTTAAATAAAAAATACATGCAGAACAGAGTCTGCAAAGTAATTAAGAATTATATGTCGGTTATAAGGCAATCCAAATAAACTGCTGTATTTTAGTTTTATGTAAATCTTCGAGTAAGTATATTCCGTGTCACTATTATACAAAGCTCGATCAAAGATACTTACTACTTATACATATATATATACTTATACATACTTACTAAATCATTAAAATTTATATTTGAGAGATATATTCATATTTTCTGTAGATAATTAAATCCTCATACGTGCATATAACCCAGCAATAATAGCAATTATCTGTACTATATTTTATCCATCCAGATTTAATTTACTTAGCAAGTCATATAATAATATCGAACTGGTAATCCCAGTAAAATTAATCCGATATTAAGATAACATATTTGTCCATTATATAAGAAAACTTTTATAACTCCTAACGTCATAGGATACTGGGAAAATGAGTTTATACACTTTAGAATGCATTCAAAATTAATTAAAATGATAATTATACCTCTTATGTCACAATATTTTTTTTGTATTTTCGTAGCTCGTTAAAAAAATACCTCTATAAATCTTACAACCGTTCTGCTAACAAACAGGTAAACATACCTATCTACCTAAATAAAATCGGCATTAGGTTATTCATTTGTCGATTATTAATTTAACATTCTTTCTTTTACATAATATAATGTTGTGTGTCGTTAATTATTTAGACCATTCGTCGATTAAAAATAACTATAGCTGAACTTGTTTCGTTATAAATACGTCATGTTTAAATTATAAGTCGCTGCGCGTTCTACTTATAATGACGGTTTATTAAATGTATAATATATGCTGTCTTACATCTCCCTGGGGCTTTTTTCAGTATATCCCAACAGCTAGGCACATACTTACGTATTCTGCTAAATAGAAACAACGATGACGGTGGCTACTGAGAAGATTACAGTATCTTTAAACAATCTGTATTTTCCAGTCATATATTTCGACCTAGAAGAAGGTGAAGGCGAGTACTGAAACGATTGTCTGTGCATGATTATATTCCACCTGAATTTGAATATGTCCTTTTTTCCATTTTTAATTCGTATTTAATGAAAATGGACTATAGATATACATAGTCAAATTTCAAGAATTCAAATTTTATACAAGGTGATTTGGAATTAGCGCATCAGATTAAGGGGGTTGTAGATTAATAATGCTCCCAATTTTTTCGTATGTGTCCAATTCAACTGTTTGCGTCTGAATCAAATTTTAAACAATTTGGAAATAAAAAGAATTTTTGAGAATCAAATGTATGCTTTTATTAATAAATGATGTTTTATTAATATATTGCACCTATTTTCCCTTTAAAAATATTAGTCTAGTTGAAATTAATTCTAAACATTTTTCTGTAAATCTTGTCAAATCAATTCATATACATGGTATCCAAATTGCAGTTAGCCATTAATTCTTGAAGTTGAGATTTGGAAATCGATTTTTCGGCATAACTTTTTTGTTTTTCATTAAATGTGTAATGGAGCAGAACGCCCTCGACAGTCTCGGCTTCCAATAAAAATTATACCACCATTTTAATTTTTATCGAAATTTTAAAGATTGTCGTACTTTTTTCAGTGAAAAAAAGTGTACTTCTTTGGTATCGATACAACGAACTGTTTTCGAGATAAACGCATTTATAAAATAAAAACAAAAATAGGCATTTATGTAACAAAATAAGTAGGTAAGTAATATCAAATGTCATTTGATATTATGAATTTATTTTACTACATGAAACACCAATAGTTGTTTCCAGGTTTTCACTGCTATTAAGGTGTCGGAAAAAAAATCTTTATCGTTAAACACGTTTATCTCGAAACAGGCAAAAAAAAATCTATTTTCAACTCTCAACTTCAAGAGCTAATGATTCTACAGGGTGAATCTGAATAAAAATAAATTATAAATATATTTATGCAAATCCCGCCAAATCTGACAGATTGCCTACCATTTTCCGGATACCCTGTATGTATGAAAAGAAAAATTTGTTATAATTAATTTACATTAACTTATTACGTTTAAAGTAAAGTAAAATTAAACATTAATGTGGCAAACATACTGAAGAGAAGAAAAAAAAATTGATAATAAAAAACTAATAAATCATGACAATCTTAAAATTAGGTATAATCACTTATAAATGGTGTGTTTTAAAGAAATAGTTGCATTTAGATATTACCTGTCATTATTTACTGTTAAATTTTATTTAATAGAATATAGATTTTACAAATTTATTTTTGCCTAAAAAACATTTTCTATTTTGTTTACGGTGTTCATAGTTTATACAGGGTGTCCCTGAAAAGGATGGACAACGCTTGACCACAGGTTCCTTGGATGAAAATAAGACTATTTAGTAAAGAAATTCATAAGTGTGAGTCCGTATTTACAATTTTCGGGAAAGAGTAAAGACTTAGTAATCTCACAATCCTTTTATTTGTAATGTTCAAAAGACGACTAGTTTCGAGGTCTACACTTTACACCTCATCTTCAGGTCATAACAAGGCTAAAGCTTAGTCTAACTTACCTATATACAAAAGTGCACGCCTACTGAGATATAGCCTTCTAAATATGGAATAGATAACCTATTTTTTTCAAATAATTTGAAAAATATTTTTCTTAGAAACTTCAAATTTGGTACACTTATTTTTTATATAAGGGCAAGGTAAATATAGAAATTGGAGGGAATACATATACAGGATGTTCTATTTCTAGTGCCTGTGCGCCACTGGCTATCCCGTATTTTTTTTTGTGTGTATGCCAATGACGACAGAATTTATAATTTTAAAAATAACCACTATTTTAAAAGATTTTTTTGCTCTTATAAAATTTCGATATCGTTTAAGAATTTCGAGTAAAATTCACATTTTTTATACATTAAATATAGGCAAAAATTCCGATTTATAAAAAATAATTTATAACTGCAGCCTCAAAGCAGGGAATAATAATGAAAAAACGTCACATTAAGAAAAATAACTACACATTTTTGATATTAGTATTATCAATCAATAAAATAAAAATCAACACTAATATTTTAAATAAACAATATCAACTAATAATGTAAGAAAGTCAACATTAACATTTTAAATAAACTGATATTTGTAATCACATTAAAATAATATTACAGTAAATGCTCAAAGTTACTTTCTTGTTCTTAAACGCAAATATTAGTTCTTCGAAAATTAGAAATTATCCAATAATTGTGCATTACCTCTCATAACATTAATTTCATGTTGTATTCTTTCCCATTTTCGTTGTCTGTATTTACTGAAAAGTTATTTTAAACTGTGGTCCTCAACGCTCCCCAAATGAAATAATTACATGGGTTTAGGTCCGGGGATCGAGGTGGCCATTTTAAAGGGGCATTATTTCCTCTACCTATCCACCTGTTAGACCTTTAATAACCTGTAATACCTACCCGTACCCTGTAATACCTGTAACCTGTAATAACTGGTCTTTTAATACTCTATTAAAGGAACTTTTTGAAAGCCAACCTCTTCAGCTAAACGCCTTTTATTTACTTGAGGAATTTCTTCAACCCTTTCCAAAATTTGTTCCTCCAGCTGAATAATTCCGGCCGTACATTACCCACGATTTAATGTTACAGGTATAAATCGTCCTGTTTCCCGAAGGCATCTCTCGGCATAGCAAATGTTTTGTGATTTGGAGTTCTTCAATTAGGAAATCTTTCAGCATATGTTCGAACAAGCACAACAATTTCCTTCACAGTAACCCAAAACTACTAACATATCAGTTTGTTCAGCAAAAGTATAAATTGCAATAAAAAACAAAGTAAGCTAAAATTAAATCACAGCTAGCTTGACACAGAACATTTTAATTATTGTTATGAATTTGTTTCTCTGTTATATGGCACCTCGTACTAGAATGTTCCATTTACCTTAAACTGATTTTATATTATTTAATGTGTACAAAATGCCAATTTTACTCGAAATCCATAAACGATATCAAAATTTTGTAAGAGGCAAAAAATCTTCTAAAATAGTCATTATTTTTAAAAATATAAATTCTGTCGTCATTGGCTCACATACAAAAAAGTTACGGGATAGCCAGTGGCGCACAGGCACTAGAAGGAGAACATCCTGTATATGTATTCTCACCAAATTCTATATTTACATTGCCCTTATATAAAAAAATATGTGTACCAAATTTGAAGTTTCTAAGAAAAACAGTTTTCAAATTATTCTGAAAAAAACTAGGTTATCTGTTCTATATTTAGAAGGCTATATCTCAGTAGGCGTGCACTTTTGTATATAGGTAAGTTAGGCTAAATAGTCTTGTTTTCATCCAAGGAACCTGTGGTTAAGCGTTGTCCATTCTTTTCAAGGACACCCTGTATATCACATTTATTTAGGCCCGGTACTTTGAGTCTCGGTTAAAGCTTGATTAACTGATCAGGCGATTAGACTGTGCAGTGTACATATAACAATTTATTTTATAAAGTATAATCACAGTCTAATCGCCTGAATCGAGCCTTAACTGAGACTCAAAATACCGGGCCTTAAAATGTCTTCTTCCTTCTAGTATGGCGGAAATACCCAAGAAAACAAAAAGAAAAAAATAATATTTCATTTGTAATTGGAGACCGTAATTTAGTTTTATGTTAAACAATATCTACTATTTTTTTGTACCTAATATTGTTTTTACTAATTTTTTTAAGTAATTATTTCTCCAAGTTTTTTACTCGTTTCTAATAATTTTTAATATTTCTTTTTAACGTAAACATATACCTAACTTATTTTATAGAATATTGTTAATCCAAAATCAATATATTTTTGCTCAAACTTGATCGATTCTCCTGTTTTTCATGTGTTACCTTTAATTTAAATGATTTGCAATTATTTAGAACATCTATTTTTGTGGCTTGTAACGCCATTTATATATCAAACTTTTTGGATCTAACTGTATAAAAATCCAAGAACACGCAAAAAGTTTAGGAAGCCCCAGATTCAAAAAAGGGTGCCAAAGTCTTATGGGACTTGGGGCCCACAATGTCGAAGTTTGAAAAGTGTACGAAGCTGTAGTACTTGGACTAGCAAAGAAAAAAAAAAAATCAATAACCATAACCCCCAAAAATTGAGCGGTTTCTAAAATATTGGTTTAATATAGATATCCATCTTTAGATTTCTTTGTCTTTTTCGTGAACGGTTTAGGATGTCTGGAAAAAATAGCACTCAGTAAATCACCTTCCAGGAACCATAGTCCCCTTGGGGAGAATTTCTCTGATAAAATATTACACCCTGATTTCAGGATATCCTCTATGATGAACTTAATTTTCTATAGAGAACTTTTGTTCCCGCAATCAGATTTGACGAAATCCGAAAAAATACTAGACACTCATCGACTCCATCCTTTTTCAGGGGTACGTCATGCCACATACAGAGATGCCCGGGGAGTAACGCACTCATACTTCTTCAGTTGGGAACACGCACCCACCAGAAGCCTGGAAGTGGACTGGCTAGACGCCAGAAACATCTGCAGAAGACACTGCATGGACGCCGTTTCTCTAGAAACTCCCCAAGAAAATGAATTCATCAAGCAGAGGATCGCCAGGGGAAATGTACGTTATATATGGACGTCGGGACGCAAATGCAACTTCGCCGGTTGCGACAGGCCAGACTTACAACCTCCAAATATCAACGGATGGTTCTGGTCCGGTTCTGGAGCTAAAATTGGTCCCACCACGCAGAGGAATTCTGGAGACTGGAGTCACACCGGAGGATACGGCCAACCCCAACCCGACAACCGTGAAGCTGCACAGGTAAATTATATTTATAACAGAATTCTGACAGATAACATTTAAGGGGGGAATACACATTAGGAGGCTGATTTTCAAGCGTTACTCATGGATTTTTTTGAGTGGGACACATTTATTAGAATTTGATGAAACTTTGACATTATTTTATCAATATTTTGAACTACATTTACAAAATTTTTCAAAAAAGTCACGTGTTGAAAATGCCGAAGTTGTGGGTTGTTGTGGAGGTCGCAATTTCGATATGAATGTAAAATGATTGTTTTCCTGCATATTTTCTAAGAATATGAACCTCATTGCGGGTAAAAATTGTGAACATTGAAGTTTAGACACGTGTTTAAGAAAAATGTATCGATTTTCACCATTTTCTTCACTTATTTTGAATAAAACACGCCCTTAAAATTATGATATCATCCCAGTTGTAGGTTCATGTTCTTAGTAATTTTATATAAAAACACTTTAAATTTTCATAACGATCGGTTCATAACTTTTTGAGCTAAAGGTCCCGTGAATCAAAAAATATCGTTTCGAAAAAAACCCATTTGAAGATTTCAGAAAACTAAAAATTTGAGAAAGTTATCAATAATATAGAGTGTTTTTCGATCAATCAGGGATTCCAGCACCATATGACAGTCCTTCTTCTTCTTCATAGGGTATCATTCTGAGCTTGCATCTGCCGAACAAGTTGCTCAGTTAGCGGTTTTAGGCTCATAATATCGTAACTAATAGGAATTTCGTTTTCGTTTCGTTAACAATTTATGCAATAAAAAAACGATTTTTTGAACCTCCTAATGTGGCTTCCCTTCTTAAAAGTTTAATGGGATAAAGCGAGCAGAACTCTCCAATTGGATAAGTACCTAAAAGAAGCGAGGAAAATTTACTAATAAGAAAGTTATGCTACGATAAACTATTATGATAAGAATTTTTCTGATTAATGTTACACCATGCCAAGCTTAATAAAAAATATATTGATAACACGGTTTTACTACCGAAATCCGCTTACTTATCAATGGTTACAAATAATTTACTTACGCCCAAAATAATCAATGATGTGCCAAGTTAAAATATTATAATAGTAACTAGATCGTGGTTCATATATGCCATGTATATATGTCCTATGTATCCAATATTGCATCAAAAAGGACAGGACCGTAATAGCCTATGGTGGGGTTTGGGGTTGCAAGTCTTTATGAACACCCTTATTTAAAACAAAGCTCACGCAATCAGCGACTTACTGATATAAAATTTGAAAACCTAAACAGTTTTTCGTTTGATTAGAAAATAAAAAAACAAAGGTCACGCAATCAGCAGATATAAAATTTTAAACTATTTACTGATATTATTACCGAAAATTTAAAAACCTAAACACTTTTTGGATTTTCATTACGTATTCATTTGCAAATGCTTTTACTTTTCGTAAATTTTTCTTCTCCACAGCCTGAATTCACTTCTCTATGTTTCAAATAAAACCCAACTTTCAGGAACATATGTCAAAACTGAGCGGTATACTGATTTTTTGTTTTATTGAGATATCTCCTTTTTACATAACCTCTCTCCATTAGTAATATAGTGTTATTGTTTTATTTATTCCTTTATTGATATCAGCTTATTATTTTCTACTACTTATTACTTTCTATACAGGGTGGTCCGAATTTTATGCAGGAAACTTCGAGAACAGATCTCTTTAAAATAATGGGAGTGTACTTTATAAACATAGGTCTGGAACGGCCTCGTTTTAGAGATACAGGGTGTTGAAGTTGTTAAAAAATATATATATTTTGTTTATATCTCAGGAATCTATTAACCGATCTCAATGAAATTTGGTACAAATAATGTACGATAGTAGGCCTTGCATTCCCTAAAATATGAGCTCTAAAGGTTTAACCAGTGCTGTGCAACTGGACATGGTTCAGCCCCCATTTTATAAAAAAAAAACTACGCCACTGTATTTTTGTTATTTGTAACGAATTTATATTCCAATGCACTAAATACGTAAAAAAGGTGACTTGGAATTTTTTCCCTAAGGTTCACCATTTTCAAGTTATTCATACAAATACAATCCCCTTGTGGCAGACACTTCAAATCATAATATTACAAGAATATTTATATTTATGCTTAAAAGTAAGTCCAATTTGTATGCACATCAACAAAATCTTTCCACATCACATGTGATGTAGTGTTCCTGGTGTGTTTTAGTTTTCCCTGGAGGCATTATCTTTACAAATAAGAACAATTTAAATCAAAATAATAATAAAAATACATCTACCAAGCAACAACAACTAAACAAGAAACAAAATTAACGTTACGTATTTTCAGCAATTGTTTAAAATGCGAACCACCCACACCGATACATTTCTGACATCTTCTATTAATGGAACGACTAATTGAAGCTAATATCATGTGCTGGTTTGTGGTTTTCTTTTAATTCATTACACCCGTCTTCTATTCGCTGCAGTAGTTGTGGTCTAGTATCTATTGGAGTAGAGTAAATTTTTCAGGTAGGTCACCCCAAACAAAGAAGTTCAGGGAGTTTAGATCAGGCGAACTGGCTGGCCAAGACACTGGACCCTCTGCACCATTATGGTTGACATTGGCATTTGGTCTTCTACCTATCCATCATCTCATAAAATTTTCATTAAGCCATTCTTGTATTATTCTCCTAAAATGCGCAGGAGCACCATCCATTTGTATCCAGCTATTTTGTCGTATATTTAATTGAACATGCTCTAATAATTCAAATAGATGGTTTTCTAGAAAGTTTAGAAATGACTCCGAATTTCATGAGGATTTTCTTGTGACCAAATATCCAGATTCTGAAAATTCACTACCCCTCGCCTTGTGAACGTAGCCTCATCGGTCCAAAGTATTTCTAGTAAGAATTCAAACAACCACTGATAAAAATTCAGGCGTCTCTCTGTATGTCCCGGAAGTAAATTTTGCACATGTTGTAAATGGTGCGGATTTCTGCCATCCTTACAAGGGCTCTGTCTGCAATGTTAAGTCTTTGTAAATTCTTATACCCAATATGTAACATTTTTAGTTCAGGTGCACATTTTTTTAATATGTTATCCATACAAATTCTGAAGATAACCTAGACCTACTGGACTCAAACTTCCTTTTGGTTTCAATCCTTATTTTGTCGTGAACGCTTCAGATTTCTTGTTTTTTCTAATTACAAAGTTCCTATTGTTTTTATATTACTCTTATTATTTTGGATTTGATTTCGCTTATATTTAAACTTTCCCATACTTTCTCCCTAGGTACCATATAGAAAACTTTTTCAAAATCCATAAATGCTATTATATCCCATTTCTAACAAATGGAAAATACACACATTAGAGAAATATGCCGAAGAACAGCAGCATTAATTAGGCTAGACAATGAAAGAAATATAAGTGAAATTATTTGACGCAAGATTGACCTGGAGAAACTAAAGGGTCAAATCAAGTTCGCATGCAAAGTTCAAATATTTAAATTTGTTGGTGTGGTCATGTTAAAAGATCTACTTCTGGATGAAACTCATCGATTATTTTTACTTATTAGTTCGATTAGGATTAACAACAAATAAGGACAATAGTTCTTAGTTCAGTTTCCCCTTCAATCATCTGACTTCTTTTGGCCATCGACCATATCTAATTTCGTAATTACAATCGGATGAAAAACCAATAGCATCGTACACTCAACCAAATTGTTGACTTGTTTTTTTTTATCATGGTTAATAACTGGGAATCATAAAGCGAAAGAGAACGGCTAATGTTTAGAAAGCGGTGAAAAATATAATGAATTAAACTCCAAATTTAGCGTTACTAAATGGTCTTATAAGATTAATTAATGGGCAACAAAAAAAAGTGTTGTCCCGGATGAAAACTGCATAATCTAGGTATCTCCTCAAATTTTACGAAAAATTAGTATATCAAAGTCAAATCAAGCAGTTAAAATTTTCTCAAATAAAATTTTTGGTCACTTTTTAAATAGTAATCAAACAAACGAATGTACATCTTAAGTTTAAACTTATTCAAATTAATTAAATATAACTGATTAAGACTAGATTAAAAAAATCTAGTCTTAATTAGTTTTTCGTTTCAAAAATGGTTACTTCATTTTCAAAAAACATTATTTCAATTACCTCAGTAATGTTTTTCGTATAGCATTATTTGTTTTTCATATTAGTCAATTCTACTTCAGGAAATTGAAATTGAATTCTCTTCTGACGAATTATGAAATACAACATTTTCTGAATTAAAATTGAATCTTCCCAAATGCAGCGATCGTTTTCTAAAATAAAAATAACTAACCTAAATTGTAGTCCACTCTTTCTGATAAATATTTAGAAAAGATGTAGAAAACATTATCTCTGATAGATATTTCTGTAAAACTGATTTCATAGCATTGAAAAATATGTTCAAAACTGCAAAAGAACATACAGATATAGAAGAACGCGATTTTTTTACTATAAAGATATAATAAATGTATATAAGTATAGTGCCTTGACAGAAATCAATATTAAATTGACTTAAAAAAAATAATAACTATAACTGACGAAACTAGGACGAGTTACCATTTCTGCTGATCGTCTGTACGCAATTCTTTCACGCTTAAAAGTGTTCGTTCTGCCTGTTAAGAAAATATTGGACTGAGGTCATTTAACCGTTAAAAAGTTTTACAAGGTCGTATATAGATTCAATATGTAGAACTAGGTATGTGTCATTTACCAACTAAGTACATTATATTTTTTGTAATAAATTTTTTGTATACAATTCAAAGAAAATTAGTGATTAATTCGATTATCCTAATTCAGGATAAATAATACGAGTAGTACTATTTTTTTACCTTTTAAAGTTAATACGTTTATTAAAGTGAGCAAAATGTTTTAGTTTTTTTCAAATAACCCTAAACCATTTTCGATTTTAAATAAATTTGATAGGCCAATACTAGCACATAGATGGCACTTTTTGACGCAGTGACTGAAACAGTTACATTTTTAAAAATGAAAGTTCGTTGGAATAGACAATCAACAGGGTTCAAAAATTGACAAGACGCATTTTTAAAGGGTATCGAATCCATCTGTTACATTATCACATCACTGTATATTATGATTCCAATAAAATGTCTTCCCAGAAAAAAGACAACTGAAATAAATAATAAAATATAGAAAATGTATTGCCAGTAATCATGTTTGGTTAACCCCCGTTTGTATGCCACTGATTCCTCATTCATTATGATGTTTTAAAACGCAAATTTCTGTAGGTATAAAAAAACAGCAAAACGTGTATAAGCTGACCTTGTGTCTGCGTGGTTGTCTTTAAAACATTTTCGTATTATAGGTAACAAATAAAATAAATGTTTGTTTTTATAGTGATTAGTACGGCTATTAGGGTATTTTCAATTCACATAAATTATAAATGGATTGCAGTAGAAACAAGTGCAATAACATGATATTTGTGGTTTGAAAAGCCTTCTAGAATAGTAGAATATCGGCACGGAGATAATAATAATAGCCTTTTGCACTTGTATTTCGGGCTGTTCATTATGTTAAACACTGTTTGCGATTGCTGACACTAAAAACCTACAAACTATGTCACAGTACGCACAAATATTAAATATTTATTACAGTAAAACAAAAGTATTCCCTGCGCAATACGCACTTCGACTATTATTTTTATTCTCAACTCTATGTAACAATATAGTTCTACATTCTAGACTCTATATTGTCTAAACTAGATGTAAATCAACTAGAGAAAACCAAATAGTTGATTTCATATGGAATTAGTTTAAAATAGATGCTTTATTTTAAATTATTTGGCGAAAAAAACGACTTTATACACTTATTAAGTAGGTACACATATGTTTTATGCTTTATATTCCTCGAAGCAAAAATCTAGTTAAACCAGTTCACAGGTTAACGACACGATATAAAAATCTATAAAAGCGAGCAAAAGCTGAGGCTAACAATTTTCTTTGTTTCAGGGTAATGATGAATCCTGTCTCTCTATCTTGAACAACTTCTACAATGACGGCCTCAAATGGCACGACGTAGCTTGTCACCACGTCAAACCCTTCGTCTGCGAAGATAGTGAAGAGTTATTAAATTTCGTAGCCTCAAGAAACCCAGGAATTCGCCTGTAAATTTTAAATGTTTAAGAAGAAACATCGTGTACCTTACCACAAAGTCATAAGAATTTGATTAACTTTGTCGTTGGAAGGGTCAATCAAATTCTTGGTTAAAAAAAATTTTTATTCTTCTCGTTTTGTCTTTTCGCATGTGAATATCAGCTTTAATCTTTTTAGGTGTAGTTTTGTATCTATATTAAATTATATTTTAATATTAAAAATTGTAATTTATAGACCGTTTTCGTTTTATTATTACGTTGGTGTATTCTCTACTTGATATGATAACACAACACAGGTCAGACAACTGAGCGAACTCTCGTGACCTTTAGTTATATTATATTCTGAAACACCTTTCTGGGCTACCGATGTCACAAAATGACCTTAATTTTTTTGAAAATATACGACCTACGCCACGTTTCAATTTAGTTAAATTTTGAAAATGAAAAATTATTTTAAATATTTCGTCTCAAAAATAAATTCAATAAGGCGACCTTGCAAATAGTACCCCGTGTTTAAGGTTAATCACTCATTAATTGTTATTGTTATGGTTTGATAAGAAAACTAATTTAGTTGATTAAAGAAATAACCATTTTTCTTATGAATAAGTCAGTTGAGTGCTTTTGAAATAAGTTTTAAAATACAGGGTGTCCCGAAATTAACGCAACAAAATTTGGTCATAGATTCTCAAAACTTTAGGGGACCCGTATTTTTTCTTTTTGCCAAGTGGCCCCCTCTTTCGGAGTTACGGTCCCCTGAAATCTGTCTCTACGAATAGTCTTTTTTATATCTCAGAACCCTGTTGTACGAGAATCACTAAATTTGGTAGACACGGGTTTTAAGTCATGTGGAATCTGATAGTGCTACGCTTTTTAGCGGGGAATCCCCTTAAGACACTTTTTCGTGGGCCCCCTTGTCTTTGGATCCAAAAAGTTTAGTCACAAATTTGAATTTCTTAAAAATTATTAGTTAGCTAGAAAGCCATTGAATTTAGAAACTTTTTTCTCTCTTGATATTGTTTTCGTAAAACGTAATATTTTTGAGAAAATGGAGAATCACAATATCCATTCAATCACATTTTGACATTCTTCTCGAAAACATTGTGTTTTACGAAAAAAGTATCAAGAGACAAAAAAGTTTCTAAATGTAATGGCTTTCTAAAGGACTAATAATTTTTAAGAAATTTAAATATGCGACCAAATTTTTTTGGCTCCCAAGACAAGGAGGCCCACGAAAAATTATTATGTATTAAGGGGGTTCCCCTTAATACAAAAAATAAAAAATGCAGGTCCCCTAAATTTGTCTTAAGAATCTGTGACCAAATTTAGTTGCATTAATTTCGGGACACCCTGTACAATTGCACATTATAATATATGTATGTATAACTGGTGAACATACAGGGTGTAACTAAATGTTTGGCCAAATTTTAATGATTGGTTCTGTCACAAATTAACAATAAGTTATTATAAGCAAGTGTCCACAATTACTTCATTTTCGAGATACAGAGTGTTCAAAATCAATGAAAGAGGGCAACCAAGTAAATAATATTTCATTTCATTCATGCGATTATTTGAAATAGCATTATTTCAGAAATAACTTAAATATATGACATTTTTCCACTTAAGTATCTCGAAATCGATGCATACTAGTGACCTACAGCAAAGATAAATTTTTGTAGGACAATCAAAAACTAAAGCTGCATATCAAATTTCAATAAAATCGTTTGTTAGTTTCTTATATGTATCTGAAAAAATAAACTATTTCAAACTTAAACTGTATTTGGGAAGAAAAAAATTTCTGGATGTAGGAACATTTTTCATTTAATCGTTCTATAGAGTCCACCATTAAAGATTGGCTGCATATTTGTACACTCTGTATATGTTAATGGTGACCTATTTTTACAAAAATTTTCAGTTTCATAAATTATTTTCATACACATTAATACTCAATTAATTATTATTACTTAAAATTACAACTGAATAGAAATAAAAAAATATAGAATACCGTTTTTGACAATGCAGAAGATAATTTTTTTATTTTTACCTACAATTAGGATCATGAAATATAATCTTGAGAAATATGAAATAAATATAATTGCATAATGATTATCTGCATAAATAGTACTTCTTTAAGTTAAACAACATACGGTACGTAAAAAGGAAACAATTTAATAAGGCAAAAGTTTTAACAAAAATAATCACAATTATCATAAATATCACATAATTATATACCTACACAATTAAATAAAGAAATAAATTAATTAACTATGCAGCATAAAAAGAAAGTCCCTTCACAAGAGTTCCACACATTTCAAAAAACGAAATAACTGAATCTTTACAATCATTTGTCAGTTTATTACTCATATAATAACAATGTACTGGAGTAACTCCAATATTACTTCGATTTTTATATGAGACTTTAATATCATAAAGAACATTTGGTTCGAGAGTAACTAAGTCTTTCAAAGACAAATATAAATCGGAATCGTAATATATAACACCTTTAAAAGTAGTAGGCTTTGCAATACTTGCATTACAGTTTTGCTCACACACGCGAACTGTTATCGAACCCTCATACCCCGTTCCAAAATATCCCGTTGGGTTCATTTCTGTATTAACTAATACACCAAACAGTATCATCCGTCGATTTACACTTACACTCGAGACATACTCTTCCGAATTATGCAGGTCTACTCTACAAGCTATTTTAAATTCTTTTCTGAGACGACAAATATTTTGCATAGGCTTATACAATTTTTGTATTTCACAAGAGTCCTCACTCCAAGTCAATTCCTCATCAAGTAACAACAAACTTTCATGTAGTAATTCATCTATACATTGGCACATTATTAAAGCATCACAACACTCATCACATTTTATACTAATTAACCAATCCTTTCTTATAAATCTTAATATGTCCTCCTCTTTCAGAACTTCTACAATGTTTTCTGGGATAGCCTCTACTTTTCTAAAATCACATTCTATGGCAGCCCAATTTATAATTTGTATCACTAATTCAAATTTGTCCAGACCAATGTTTTCTTCTTCTAATATAGCACACAAAGTAGATGGTTTCATATGATAGTCAGTTGAAAATGCTCCATTAACATAACCAACAATGTCTGAAAAGCATCTCTTTTTTATATCGCGTAAACTGTACATCTCAGCATATTCATAACTCAAAACCAGCGAGTTCATTGTCAAATTCTTCTGGATGTACTGTAAGCACACATGAATAAGATCATCTAATAGGTATTTATTTGCTACATAAAATAAAGACCAAGCATTAACTACCGAAGTAATGCTAATATTTTCAGTATAAATGAATTCGAGCACTTGATTGAATTCCTCCTCATTTATGTCAGAAATTATAATTTCATTCGAGGCCATATCCCCAAAAAACATTTTTTCAAAAACTGGGCTGCTACATGCTAATATTAATTTATGTGCCTTGACTTCTGCCCCATTTAATTTAAAAGTACAATCAGCAAACTTCTGACTTTTATAAAAAGCAACAAGTCTTTCCCTTTTATATAAAGAAGCCAATCGTTCCATAAAAATAGTTTCCTTTTCCATCTAGAATCAATAAATAAAAGTATTAATTAAGTAAAGAGAATATGAATTGTTTTATTACTTACCGCGTACTAACACCAACCAACAAACAACGCGCACCAATGCGAACTGCTAAATAATATTTTATTTTGTTTATAAATTAATTTTATCCTTGAACTGAACACAAGACCAAAGCCAAGGCCATCGACCATCATCTCTATAATCAGGACACAGAATATTTAATAAAGATAGAGGTGTGCCGTCCGAGAATGACCCAAATGACTAAACTACAGCAAAATGCTGTGACTAAACCACAGCAAAATGCTGTGACTAAACCACATACTTCTATAGGATAGAAGTATGTGGACTAAACCCAATCCACCCAATCGCTTTCTGAACGAAATGATCGATTCCATACCATATCGCGTCGCATGAAACTGAAAAATCTGTTGAGAGACTCCTCACCTAGACACGGTCTGTAAAGTTTATAGACCGTGTATCAGAATCAGAAGCTGCTCACTCTCCCACTTTTGACAGACATGTGTTTTAGTACGGGAACGTGTCGTGGGATACGTGGATGATTATGGTTTTAATTAATAAACAAAATTTAAAATTGGCAATTCGATACAGTTCAGTGCAGAACTGACAGATCTGAACATTTTCTTATATTATAACTCTCTCTTTCAGTGTGGATCGAAACCAGTAAGATAAATGTAATGTGGAAACAGTTTGAAAGTACAAAACTCTACAGTAAGATCCACATGCATTCGTGATCAAGAATTCGTTGTAATTACGTGACCTTGTAACCATCAACATCCAATTGCGCATGTAACATGTAAGGGCCTTTGACACTCCGTCAAGGTTAAAAAAAACGGACTGGATATTGATGTTCATGTGGCTACATCCTGGTTATTAGAACGCAAAATACTAATCTGAAGTATTCCTGAAGTGCTTCCGAAGGTCCGAAGTACTTTTTTGCCAATTGGAAAGCAGCTTATATCCAATTTATACCAGGACATATAAGCGAAAAATAAATTAGAAACCTACTTTAAACCCAAATATAATCACATGCTTTATTATTAATGCTTTAAAATCATTTTATAATCCATTACTCCCACATGAAAGCGTTTTATTTTTATAATTGTTAAATATTTGAAAATTTGAATGCTCCAATTTACCCAGCACAACACTAAACACATGAATCCTCTTTTCTTTCTAACAGCGTTTTCCATTCCTTTGCACTTATGCACTAAAAGCGCACTGAGAATGTATCCATCCTTTATTATCATATCGAATAATAAAGGATGCAAATAGTCTCGGTGCGTATTCAGTGCAAAAGTGCAGAAGAATGGAAAACGCTTATAAGTCGGGAAATGTCAAATATGACATAAAATTTGTCTTTTACATAAATGTGTTCTGTTTATTAAAAATAACTGATATTATGTTATAGGTATAAAAAATATAATTCATATGGAGCATTTAGTTAAAGGCAAATTTGGGTTCGTAAAAAACTTTTACTTTTAGGTTATGTTAAACACCTTTTTTTTAGCCGGATTATTATTACTTCTTATTCTCGTGATCCTTTAAAATATGGATCTCAGAGGCGTTTCCAAAGGGGAGTATGTAGTTTATGGGGTGGTAGAGCATTGGACAGATCTAGGCCTTTGTTAAAACAACAGTATATTTATCAGAAAAGGGAATATGGAATGTTAATCGTGAGAGCTCTAAGAGGTGTTTTAAAAATTAGATACTTAATTCTTGGTGGAGCTGTTGCTGGCGGAGGAGCTCTACAAAAGGTAACTTTGTGCCTGGATAATATATAAATAGTACCATTAGAATTTTTTAGAAATACAATGACTGGAAAGATGGTTTACCCGATTTAAAGTGGTTAGAAGAAGTTTTACCAGATAATGATAAATGGCAGCAATGGAGAGGTAACCTCGTGGAATTTAAAGATAACATAAAAAATAATATTGAATTGGGTAAGTAATAAAATTAGACATAATGTACTGTTTATTTATTTATTCCGATTTATTCATTTGTATCCCTCGAGACCCACAATGTAATATATTGTTTTTTATTTATACATATATGTTTTATATTACTTTAGTATAAAAAATAGCAACAGGATGAACAGTTTGAGTGAGATTTGACATACGAGAAAAATACAGGATGTAACTAAAATTCTTAACATAACTTTAACAGTGGATTCTCCATTATAATTTTATAAAGAAAGTTCATATAAAATTGTATCCAATAATGCTTTTTATTTCCAAGATATGGTAGATGTTAAAAACTTCAAAAAATTGTATTTTTTTAGATTAAATGAAAACAAAGTTATTTTAATCAAATTTGTTTCTGGGCTCAGCTATAAGGGCTCAGTGCATGGACTTTTGTTTCAAATTTTTTTCTTACTCTTGCTAAAAGTGTCGTCATCAAGTTATTTTTTAAATAATGATAATTCAAACAACCATTGTATGAATAAAGTGAAATTTTATTTGGAGGGCTTAATAATGCCACATTCTAAGTTATTTTATTGCAGCATTGACTAAGACAAGATTTAAAAAATGTTAAAGTTCATTACATATTACCAATTTTTTCATTTAATTCTGTGTTTTATTTTAGATCCAAGAATTAAAGCTTTTTCTGAATCGAAATACAATGAATTTAAAAATTGGTTTGACCAGAGGCTAGATGATGCCATAGCGGCAGCAGAAACCCAAAATAATTTGACAGGTATATACAATCCGTGTTGCTCATATCTGAGTACAATCTTTCTCTTTTTTTACATTTGCAATTTGTTTTTTGTTTAGGTACTTTGCCCAATCTATCCGAATTTATAGACAGACTGTACTTAGGTATGCCTTCTCTGCTGCTTATTGCGTCTAGGATATACATTATGAATCATTTCAGATACTAAAAAAGAAATCACGGACCGAAATACTGTCTACGCAAAGCCCTTTGCCAATACTGAAAACGACAGTGATAGGGTAAGAAGAGAAGCCCAGACCAGACTGAATGATATTCAAGATGAAATGATACAAACACAAATTAAATATCAAAAGGAACTAGAAAGATTAGAGAAAGAGAATAAAGAACTTCGCAAGCAGAACCTTTTATTAAAGCAAGGAAGGAAACCAGTTACAAAAAAAATTAAAAGAAGTCTCATTGATATGTATAGTGAAGTTTTGGATGAACTAGCCGATTTTGATAGTGGTTACAATACCCAAGATCAACTTCCAAGAGTAGTTGTAGTTGGAGATCAAAGTAGTGGTAAAACGTCTGTATTAGAAATGATTGCTCAAGCTAGAATTTTTCCAAGAGGTGCTGGAGAGATGATGACGAGGTATATTGAAGAAATGATATATATCGCTTTAGAAATCGTCTTTGAGAAAAATATTTTTATTTTAGGGCACCTGTAAAGGTTACTCTTTCAGAAGGACCGTATCATGTAGCACAATTCAGGGATTCATCAAGGGAATTTGATCTTACCAAAGAATCTGATCTAGCCGATTTGAGAAGAGAAGTTGAACTCCGAATGAGAAATAGTGTGAAAGGAGGAAAAACAGTATCCAGTGAAGTTATTTCTATGACAGTCAAAGGTAATTGGATGGTTAATTTTTTTAGTACGAGATGATAAATGAAACTTGATTTTACATTCAACGTAATAATTGTTATTGGTGTTATTAAAAACCTTTCGTGATTATAGGACCTGGTCTCCAAAGAATGGTTTTAGTAGATCTACCAGGAATAATTTCGGTATGTTTTATGAAAAGTTGTTTTTTAAATATCAATTTTATTTTTATTTTTTAGACACAAACGACAGATATGGCGGCTGACACCAGAGAAAGTATAAAACAGATGACTCAGGCTTATATGAACAATCCTAATGCTATAATATTATGTATACAGGTGAGCATATTTACTGCACAAGACACCAACTTTATATAATTAACTTTATGAGATATTGATAGCTGTTGTTGCTGTTGTAGGTGGTTCAGGCCAACTTACCTATAGTTTATATACATATTTTCAAAAAAACAAAATTTTTCTAAAATTTGCGATAATTCCCATCTATTTCTCTGCAAATATTTCCTTTCTACCAATTCCCAGCGCACTATGTTAACTTAGTATACAATCACTGATTAGCTGCAAAAAATCGGCAAACAGAAGCTTGTTTCTTTAACACATGTAACAGTACAGAACCTGAATATTTAGTACCTGAAGCAAATAAATTTTACTTGCCACCCAAGCGCCGTTTCACACTTGCCGGATCGGGTTATCCGGATCCGGCTAGCTCTTTCACACGTAATTTAATTTTCAAACCGGTTTGGCCGATTGCATTTTGATCACAACAAGAGATGAATTGAGACGCATTGCAATTATTTGGCTTGGCTACTGCCGACATCGTCGCAATAAAAAAAAAGGTTTTATTGGGCGTATCCAATAAATATGAAAACGGAAGGGTTGGGAGCATTTTAGATACTGTTTGAAAATCTGCGACTTCATGAAGAATTTTTTTTAACTATTTTAGAATGTCAATTTCCTCCTTTCAATATCTACTTCTAGCGTACAAGCATTCGACATAGTTGCGTAGAAATATTTAAAAGAATAATTGACACGTGCTGTTCCTTTGAATAAAACCAGACGACTGAACCCGACAAGCACCCGGTAAGTGTGAAAGTGTCGGTACAAATCTATGCACTACTCCCCCTTCGGTCGCCGGTTAGCCGGTACATGGCAGCCGGGCTGTCAGTGGTGGCGACCGGCTGCAACTCGGCAGCCGTTCGCCAGATAGCTTCTTCCGTCACATGTGAAAGCTGCCATAAGACTGTGCACCTTGCTGCCAGGTAACCGGATCCGGTTAGCCGATTCTGGCATGTGTGCAACGGGTGTAAGAATTAATAACAATTTACTAGTGTTTAAACTAATTTATTGTAACCTATATAATTATCAAGAAACCACTCCAATAGATTAAATGATTAAAATAATAAATTGTCCAATATTCTAGCAAAAAAAAAGCAAATGAATTATCAGAAACTTTTTATTCAATGGATTTTTAAAATATAATGGACATTTCATTTTTATTTAAAAACTTCATCAGGACTGAAAGCATTGAAAATTAACAAATGGAAAATAAAGGAAAAAGCAACACAGTATCTATACCTAATTTTCTTAATCTGACATGCAGCACATGCTTTTTGTTCATTTAATATAACTTTATTTAGATAATTTCTACAAGGGACATAATAATATCATTATGAATTATTTAAAATATTTCGTCCACACTTTACAGCAATACTCAGCAATACAATAATTATTTGATTAAAACAAATCCTTATCATTTGGAATTCCTACTTTTTGGGGAGTTGCAGACCTCCATAACTTTTATCATACCAGTGGCAGCTCGTCAGCTTCACCTAAAATTTCCGTTTGATTGTGTAATTTAAAATTATTTTTAATTTTATAATTTAGGTATAATTCTATATGGAAAATGTATTGTATTTGTTTAATACACAGAAATAAACAGAAGTTATGCGGTAAACGCCTTCTAAAAAACATTGCCTTCCTTGAGCGCGAACATCAACCTCGTACCATACAACATATAGATACGCAAGTAACGCAGTTCGAAATCAGTCTGTATTCCGCTTCTCTTCAAAGCGTTGTTTACGGCGGTTGTCATGGCAACGAGGCGGCCAGCACGAGAGTAAACTACAGTGTGGGGGAACGATTGACGTGGATGTTGAAGCAGCGTTGTCATCGCCCATTGCCTGCCTTTAAAAAGTTCATACGATACGCGTCGCCCAGTGCACGATTATAACGGTTCTTAGTTAATATTTGTTTTATATAATAATTGTAGAAATGTTTCCTATGTATAACGCAGTATGTATTTTATTGGAAACACCATTTTCCGATGGAAAATTGAGGACAAAAAGGATTTTTTAAATTGGGAGAGACCTGTGCCTTATTCTCTCAAAATGGAAAAAAGGGGAAGTCAAAAGACAATGTGTACGTTTGGAAGTTTCGGAATGAATGGTATTCGGAGTATAAATGGTTGTGTGGAAGTGTTTATTGAAAGAAACTTTTCTGTAGTTTCGAGTTTAATTGTGGGTGTAAAGTCGGACGTGTGGAATAAGGAGGGATTTAACAATTTTGGGAACGTCACGCGAGGCTGTTGTAACCACAAAGCTTCTTTGGAACATACATGGTTTGCAGAAGTTCACAAGCCGAACTAATATTTCTATTTTTTTCGGTAATGCAAATGTAACTAAAAATTTCCAGATTCATTTAAAGCCGTTTGATCTTAAAAATTTGAAAATTTCTATTTAGTCAATGAATATGCTTCACCTATTCTCAATGTCACGAGCCGCCACTGTGTCATACACTCTAATTTAGGTCTCCTAGATATAAATCAGAGTTGTTTCGAGGCTGTCAAATACTGTTTCCTTAAAACTTTTAAAATTTATGTTATTTATGGAATACTAAACAGGGAGTCACAATTTACCTGAACATTGGATATTTATCGACACATGAAGTGTATTTTCTCCATCAGTTTAAAATTTGGAATGAATTCTAGTTTAACAAATTATATCTGGACAGATATAGCATATTGTCTTTTCGTTTTCTATAGTACGCATTATGGCTATGGTCAGGTGATAGATTGGTAAACTGACAACCAAACAAAAAAGGCATTTGTTTACCTAATACCTCTTACTTCACTAGAAATCTATACAGGGTGTTCTGAAAGTTCGTCAGGAAACTCAGGGAGGTGATTCTACAGACTAAAATGATAGCATGTAATGAAAATTTTTTTCGAATTGTCAATTGTTTGCAAGTTACAGCTTGTCCAAGTTAAATTTTTTTTATTTTTCTATTTAAATAACTTATTTCATTCAAGTTCTATTAGTCTCTCATTTGGCACACCCACTAAGTAGATGACACTTTATTGGACCAATCAGAGAAAAGTTTCATTATGTACCTCTAGAGGGCACTTTACCTAGAACTCAAAATTTGTTTTGTTCATAACTTTTTTCTTTTGCTAGATATCACAGAAATTTAAACATTATTGAAAAGAGAAACAATATTAGAAAAAATTATGTACTCTTTGTTCAAGCCGATAAATGTAACCGTTTACCAGAAAATCGCTATTAATGTATTACTAAACTTCAAATTTTTGATAATTCTTTCTGGAATTAATCAAGTTGCTATGCTGTAATACCATCTCTTGTAAAGCCAGCTTCGTTAGTCAATAAAATATTCCTAGTAAATTTATTACCCTCATCTTATTTATCCACAATGCTATTACAGAAACGAAAAAAAATGTATGATAGTGGGAAATCAACCATACCTGCCTTAAACAATTTTTATTACAATTCGCAACACCAAAGTTACTAATGATATTTATTTGAAGCATGGCAACTTGATTAATTACAGAAAGAATTATCAAAAATTTGATGTATATAACACAATAGCAATTTCCTGGTAAACGGTTACATTTATCGGCTTGAACAAAGGGTACATAATTTTTTCTGATATTGTTCCTTTTTTCAATAATGTTTAAATTTCTGTGATATCTAGCAAGAGAAAAAAGTTATCAACAAAACAAATTTTGAGTTCTAGGTCAAGTGCCATCTAGCGGCGCATAATGAAACTTTTCTCTGATTGATCCAATAGAGCTTCATCTACTTAGTGGGTGTGGCAAATGAGAGACTATTTGAACTTGAATGAAATAAGTTATTTATATAGAAACATAAAAAAATTGAACTTTGACAAGCTGTAACTTGCAAACAAGTGACAATTTGAAAAAAGTTCCATTACATACTGCTATTATTTTAATCCGTAGAATCACCTCCCGGAGTTTCCTGACGGACTTTCAGAACACCCTGTATATCTAAAATAGTTTCATGACAGTCAACTACAGTTTTCTCAAAATTTAGGCAGACATTTTGTGTTCCGAATAATTTCTTTGAAACAACATAACCTTGACCTAAAAATGGACTGTCCCATTTAGATACCATATGCATCGACACTAATTTTCATTTGAAAATAAATCTAATGTTCTGAGGTGAACAGGTACTTACCGTTTCCCAAAACATTGCGTAATTGAAATGTAGATGTTTTCTTTCTCGGAAGAAAAGTGATAAAATGTAGCTTAGGTTAAATATGATTAATCCTATTTACAAAAATTTATAAATTGGAGAATTTCATGATTTAAATTTCGACTATCATATTGCTTCAAAAGAACATATTTGTGGTCAAAATTGTTACCTATTAATCCTATTATATACCACTGCATTGTAACTTAGATTAGAGTTTGGATGATTAAGCGAGGGTTTGTACAAGAAAAGGATGGAGACCTAAATCTGTCTTGCTTCTAAGTAACTACCAAAATATCTTTTTGATATGAAATATGTCCGTTGCGTCATGTAAGATTTCCTCTTTATTTCCTCCAGGACGGATCGGTAGATGCCGAAAGAAGTAACGTAACTGATTTAGTAGCCAGTTGTGATCCGCAAGGCAAACGGACCATCTTTGTACTAACAAAAGTGGACATGGCCGAAGAAAACTTAGCAGATCCTAATAGAGTATAAAAGGTTTTGTGAGTAACAACAGTCAGGAGTATAAATAACTTTATATTTTAGATTAGAAAAATATTATCCGGAAAACTATTCCCGATGAAAGCCTTAGGATATTTCGCTGTCGTAACTGGTAGAGGAAGAAAGGATGACTCGATACAAACTATAAAGGATTATGAGGAGGGATTCTTTAGAAACTCAAAACTATTTAAGTAAGTTGCATATAACTAAACCACAAACCTTATCATAAAGATTCAATGCTTTCCGCTGCCGTCACTTTAACTTGTAACAGATATACTTACTACTTGCTAAATTGCTGAATTCCAAACTGCACATAGCTTCATCTTTTGGGAAAAATATGAACTTTAGATCCAGTTTTTACTATTTGCTCCTCGTAACAAGCTATACAGCAGTTTGAAAGCACATTGCTTTTTTATCACACAAGTATTAACGAAATGCCCTGTTTATTCCGGGCTATTCCGATGTTCGAGGCATGTCCCAAAAGTAGCTTACCTTCATAATTCCACATTGACATTATTCTTCGTCATCCAGTTTGTGGCATCCTTCAAAATAATCTCCATTTGACTGAATAACATGACTCCACATCCTGAAGCAATTCTGGAAGTCAGTTTTTGGAATGGCCTTCAGTGCACTCGTTGCATTTGTTTCAATCGTCTGTGTCGTCGAATTGGTGCCCTTTGAGCAGAATTTTCAATCTGGGGAGCAGTTAAAAGTCTCAGGGGGCTACCTCAGGACTGTACGGAAATTGGCGAAGTTGTGTAATTTTGTGTTTTGCGCATTGTCATGGTGAAGAAGGCAGTCGCCATTCGCCCAAATATGAGGCCATTTTTTTCTCACTGCGTCACGCAGAATTTCAAGGTAAAATTCTTTGTTGATTATCTGACCTCTTAAATCATATTCAGGTGCATAACACCTTCATAATCGAAGAAAACTGTCAACGTGGACTTGACATTGTTCCGACTTTGACGTGCCATGGCCATGACTGAGATAGAAGCTTCCACTGGGAAGATTGTTGTTATGTTTCCAGATCATAACTATAAACCCATGATTCGTCACCAATAATGTTCTTTTTAAGCACATTTTTATCGCTAGCGATTGTTTCCAAGTTGTCCTGAGCTACTTCGAAGCGAAGCCATTTCTGCTCTACCGTAAGCAATTTTGGAATTAATTTTGTACACAAGCTAGTCATTTCCAAATTTTGAGTTAGAAATCTCAAAACACCGAAATTCCAAGGTCATTTTAGCCCACAGTAAAATGACGATCTTCAATCGCAAGCTGCACAGGCTCAATAATTTCCGTTGTTATTTTGTTCGAAGGCCAGAAAGCGAGTTACTATCAAAAGACGTGCGGTCATTTTTAAACCGCTTGTACCTGTGTTTTGCCCATACATTCATCCCCAAAGGTCTTCCGTATCATATCAGTAGTTTCTGCACTACTCTTTACGAGTTTAAAGCAAAACTTGATGAAAATTCATTGGTTACATCTCTCCATCATCAAAATCCGACAAATGATAAAAATATACAGTAAACAAATACATGTTGCGCGCAAACTAACATGTCCTGAATGCAAATCGGTTACTTTTGGAGCTCACCACGTATTCCTACCATATTTGAATCAAAATGTACACTGATTCTAGCTAGTGGATGTGTCAGTTGTGAAGTTTTATATGTTTTATGTGATACAGAATAATGAGTATTGAATTATATTTGAAAATATTATGGTAGGTTTTGTCTAAGTGAATAATATTTTTTAGGGACGGGGTAATAAAATCAACTCAAGTAACAACGAGAAATTTGAGTCTGGCAGTAGCCGATTGTTTCTGGAAAATGGTGAAGGAAACAGTGGAGCAACAGGCGGATGCTTTTAAAGCAAGACGGTTTAATCTAGAAACAGAGTGGAAAAACAACTTCCCCAGGCTACGCGAGCAAGACAGAGACGAACTCTTTGAAAGGGCTAGAGGTGAAATATTGGATGAAGTCGTTAATTTGTCGCAAGTTAGCCCCAAGCAGTGGGAAGAAAGACTGTTGAATAAAATCTGGGAGAAGGTTTCAGATCACGTTTTTGAAAACATTTATATCCCTGCTGCACAGACTGGAACATCAGGTACACTTTCTTGTATTTTCATTTGATTCTTTTTTATTAATATTTTTAAAATTAAAAATATTTGTTTCTAGTATGAAAAAAAATTCGTAACAAACGTTGGAGGAATTTATTCCATTCCATATAATTATTTACTAAATTTCATGTATAACTCCCTAAATGTAAAGTAATCTAACAAATTCGCCTCGGTAATTGAACTGAAGCACTCCATTAGAAGTTTAATGGAGAATGGAATTTTTGTATCCTTCCAGGCTTGAACTACATCTTCACTTGTGATGTAACATTTTACGTCCTTGTCAAGAGCTTTGAATAACTCTAAGGTGTTCAGTTCAGTGTCATTTACACATGCAGTCTTATGTTTAAAAAAATTCTTGATTTCATCCTGCTTCAAAAGCTCCTTATTTTTATAAACGATTGTAATTTCATTTTCAGTGGGGCTATCGCCAAATATTGCAGTGTATGAAATTATGAAGTCTCTTTTTGTAAAGTAGGTTTTCTCGCCACAGACTGATAAGGCTTTATTTATATCGTTTATATTATACATTTGGTAGTGACAGTTAATAATAGGCGGTAAGTGACTAGATCATTTCATTTATCCAAAAAAGAGTGGAAATTTAAACCTACTGGAACGTGAGTTTATCTTTATCCCTACAGGTGCTGAAACGATCCGAGAAATACTGTGTTTTTGGAATTTTCCCTCTGTACATTCAAAGCAGAAAAAATTACTTACCTTAAAATAATTTATTAATTTGCTGTTTATGTTTAATAGTTTTTAGCATCATTTGTCAAAAAAAAACAAAACCAACAAAGCAATTGAATAAGTGCGAATGTCAAAAAAATAATTTGTTTTGAGAACGTTGAGTGTTGAGAGTCCTGATGCTTGAAAACTAGCTATGAGTTCATCTTGCAAGCTTAATTGTGGTGTTTGTATGGAATTTTCAGTCGTTCTTCTGAAATTAAGACTTGATTATCACAAATTTGAGGCTTCATCCAGTTTTTGATCGATTTTTCTAGTGATGTGAGTGAAAATATATAACAAATTGATATATATCAATTTTTGATACATATCAGCTATTATATTTATGTTAATAGCTGATATATATCAATTTTCCCGCCATTTCATGAATAAAGCCAAATTTCAAACATAACCTTACATTTTAAAACTAAAAACTTGTGGTGTGGTAGGCTTGAGTTGGACTGTAGTAGCTCTTGGGTACCTGGAATATCTCCGTCAAAAATGAATATAAAAATCTGAAATTTTAGGGGTGTACTATAAGTGGGGAGACCTAAGAGCGAACCTGATTTCAACTGGCCCTTTCCACCTTAGTAGGTGCAGAGGGGGTGAGGGGTGGTCTTTTAGACGTACCCCCAAGAACGCGTTTCTGGGGGTAGTTTTACGCGTACAATCCGAAAATCGCAAAATAAATAGGGTACGTCTAAAAAAAAACTTCACCCCACCCCCTAGGGTGGAAAGGGGTGAGTTGAAATTACGTGCGCTCTTAGGTCTCCCCATTTATAGTACACCCCTAAATTTTCAGATTTTTAAGTACTACTTTAAAGCAGTTTCTTTATTATAAGTTTTTGATAATTTTTATTTCAATTTTTATCTTTAATTTTTTTTAAGTACGTATTGTGATATACAAAGACTAAATTTTCTTGTTCTAGAAATTTCCCATTTTTCATTTCTGGGTTGATAAAACTAAATTGCTAATAAACAGCGTACTTGCTTATAAACAGTCAGTAGCACGCAACAAAAATTAGAAGTCAGTATGATAAAAAAAATATAAAATTCCAATCTAAATATGAAAAAAAAATAAAGATCACTTGATAACTTTTCTTAAAGTTCATATATATGACATGTATTTGGTGTCAAATTAATCAGCAAGGCATTAGCAATATAAAAAAACTAATTTGAATATAGTTTTTTTTTAACAAAATTCATCTGATATATATAATGATATATATTTTGATATATATCACCCAAAACTAAATAGCATGCTATTTTACATCATTAGATTTTTCATTTCGAGTGAAATTTTTAGAGGGCCCTTACTCCAACATTTAAAAGTTAAAAAGTTCGCTTGCATAGCATTAGATGCGGTCAGTGGCGGCTCGTCAGGTGACGCAGGTGACGCACCCCTTCACCTAAAATTTTCGTTTGGTTGTGCAATTTAAAATTATTTTTAATTTTATATAAATTTTATAATTTAGGTATAATTCTATATTGAAAATATATTATCTTCTAACTTCTTCTTATTAAGTCAAAAGACAACGTGTACGTTCGAAAGTTTCGGAATGAATGGTATTCGGAGTATAAGTGGTTGTGTGGAAGTGTTCATTTAAAAAAGCTTTTCTGTATGTTGTAATTGTGGGTGTAATAGGCTATTGATTATATCCAAAAAAGCAGGGCTAAAAAGGAACTATGACGTTCAAGCAATTTTATTGCATGAATCGTTCAAAGGGTCATTTTAGATGAAAAAACCGCAGAGTGCTATTAAAATAGAGGGTGGAAATTGGAGATGAAAATGCACCCCTTTCAGTTTTTTAATTGTAGCTCGAAAACGAAACAAAATATATATAGTTAATAGGAAAAATTATTTAGAAAATTGAATTTCCCATGGAAATAGCTTATTTAAAAAATTTAAAATGAAAATTTTATGCAAAAAAATCATTAATAAACAATTTAATAAAAGCAATAAATTTGATTTTCTGATTTTTTTTACTTTTTTGTCTCTAGTTTTTTTTTGAGTAAAGATAGGTATAGGCATTGCTTCATAGAAAAAAAAGTAGATAAAATTTCCTTCAAAATTGACTGATATATGGCCGCTCAAACTTAGCCAATTTTTCGATTTTCGCCGCGTTTAATTCTCATTTTTTTTGCAAAAAGGAAGGAAATAAGATGTTCGAGGATTTTCATCACATGACTTGTTCGAAGGGTCATTGAAAATGAAAAAACCGCGGGGTGCTATTAAATTAGAGGGTTGAAATTGGAAATAGGGGTGAAAATGCACTTTTACAGTTTTTTAAATATAGCACGAAAACGAAGCAAAATTTTGGTATGACCCGAACACGTCATGTGATGAAAATCCTTGAACGTCTTATTTCCTTCCTTTTTCGCAAAAAAGAGAATTAAAACGAATAATGGTTAACGCGACGAAAATCGAAAAATTGGCCAAGTTTGAGCAGCCATATATTAGTCAGTTTTCATCCAAAAATACTTTACAATCTCTTGTTTTGAAGGAAATTTAATCTACTTTTTTTTCTATGAACCAATGCCTATACCTATCTTTACTCAAAAAAAACTAGAGGCAAAAATGTAAAAAAAATCTGAAAGTTTTTGCTTTTTTTTCAAAATGTTTATTAACGAATTTTTTGCTTAAAATTTTCCTTTTTAATTTTTTAAATAAGCTATTTAGAAGGGAAATTCAATTCTTTAAATAATTTTTCCTATGAACTATAGTGAGATTTTGCCTCGTTTTCGAGCTACAATTAAAAAACTGAAAGGGGTGCGTTTTCACCCCTATCTCCAATTTCCACCCTCTAATTTAAGGCACTCCATGCTTTTCTCATCTAAACTGACCATTTGAACGATTCATGTAATAAAATATCTTGAATGTCATAGTTACTTTTAAAATCCTGTATTCAATAGCCTATAAAGTCGGGCGTGTGGAAAAAGAAGGGATTAAACAATTTTGGGAACATCACGCGAGGTTGTCGTAACCACAAAGTTTCTTTGGAACATACATGTACGGTGTGCTAATATTTCTATTTCTTATAAAATCTAAATGAAAATCCTTCTCACCAACGTCAGTTTTTCAGTAATATTGCAAATGCAACTAAAAATTTCCAGATTCATTTAAAGCCGTTTGACCTTGAAAATTTGAAAATTTTTGCCAGCAGCGCTTTTTTTATTTCTTTTTACTCAACAATGAATATGCTTCACCTATTCTCAATGTCACGAGCAACCACTGGATGCGGTCCACTTTTGGCTTTCAATCAGTACTTGGTTCGTCTCAGTTCGTTCATATTTAGTCAGCAAAAAAATAATTCCATGTTTTCATTACACCCATCTGCCCAAACAATTTTTCAAACGTATACACATCAAAATATCTATATTTCTAATTTATGATCAGCCTTCAATAATACTCGATATAAAATTTTATGGGAATGAAGTTGATAAATATTTTCTAATGTTTGCAGAAACCTTTAACACTGCTGTAGACATCAAACTCAGGCAGTGGGCGCAATCGGCCTTGCCGGCCCAATCTGTGGATGCAGGTTGGCAAACCTTGAAGTCTGAATTCCAAACATTCATGAAGAAAGCTGCCGATGCCACTGATCACGATGATATCTTCGACCAACTTAAAGAAGCTGTGGTAACTGAAGCCATGCTGAGGCATTCCTGGGAGGACAAAGCATCGGAAATGCTGAGGGTCATTCAGTTGAATGCATTAGAGGATCGTACTATCAGCGATAAGAGGGACTGGGACCAGGCGGTAAAGTTCTTGGAGTCTGCTGTTAAAGACAAGCTGAAGGAAAGCGAAACAGTTCTAAAAGATTTATTGGGACCTTCAGCAAAAGAAAGATGGTTGTATTGGAAGAGTCAGACTGAAACTCAAGCAAAACGAAATAGTGTTAAGAATGAATTAGATAAAATTTTATATTCAAGTCAGGTAAGGCACATAAAATTCCTCATGGTGTTTCTTCTTAACATAATCTCTTTTAGAAACACCCACCTATTCTTAGTTTTGACGAGTTAACGACGATAAGAAACAACTTGCAACGTAACAATCTTGAAGTAGATAATGAATTTATCCGTGAAGTTTGGGATGCGGTGTACAGGAGACATTTCCTAAACCAAGCTCTTGGTAGAGCTTATGACTGTCGGAAAGCTTTTTATTTATATCATCAACAGCAAGATGTTGATTGTTACGATGTGGTGCTGTTTCATAGAATCCAACAAATGATGAAAGTGAGCTCTAATGCCTTACGGCAGCAAATTACGAATAGGGAAGGTGAGTAAATTGATTTTTTAAGCAAAGTATATATTTAGTATACAGTGTTTACCAATTTCCCGAGAAGTTATTGTACAAGTGTTATTTAGCATGTCACGGACTCAATATTTCAGAAAAAACTAACATTTGCTTGTCAGTATCTTGATTCATTTAAGAAATACAGGGTGTTATTCAATTTTGGTAATTTTGTGATGATTTTTTGTATTTTGAGGTATTCAGTTGAAGTTTTGCAAGCCTTATATTTCACATGGGTATACTTCTTTGTGTAATTGTGGTTAAAAAAAAAATCAAAGCTTGAACGGAAGATAAGGGTTTGTGGTAGCTATTTACCTCCCAACCACTTTTTCCACGGTATGCTTATGGTTCAAATGTATTGTTTTTTATACTAAGTGTAAATTTTTTTTATTTTTTGTACCCCATTAGTAAAATTTTGTTTTAGGGTTTAATTTTCAAGATATTGCAATATCTTTGGACATGTAATCAGAAAATTTTTGCTTACATTATGCTTAACGTAACAAAAGACAAAATTGGTATATTTTGACCTATCCATTTTAACAAGAGATTTGATTAAATGTTCTTAATCAAATTGAAGAAATTAGATTAATTTGAAATTATAATTATAAATACGCTACATTCCAGTATTGGAACTTGGGAAAACAATACTAACATAAAAAGTGTTATAAATTAAAAGCTCAAAATGTTGTATCACTTTCACGAATGCAGAATTGAATTCTAATGAAAGAAGACTAAACGTTTTGGAACATTTTTAGTTTTAGGGTTGTCAAATTGCACCACGTATTTTACGCTATAGACAAATGAATATCAAAACGATTTTTTAAAAAATATTAATTGCAAAGCTAACATAGCTAATTTAGTTGTTAGATTAGATGATTAAGCAGAATCATCTAAATTGATGTCATCCAAGGATATTTTTGTAACACTTACGTCTGACTGGACTGACTTCACGACGAAGGCACAAACCTTGACTTTTTGAGGGACAACCTTACCCCCTCCTCCTACAATAAATTTTTTAAGCGTAATTTTGATTAATGCAAGTGAAATTAAAATGTTTTGTTAAAAATAAATTATTGAATAAAAATAAAATATTATTTGTTGTTTACTGCATGTCAATAAATAACAAACCGCTGCTAACTGATTTGGCAATACGATTCTTCCTCGAAACCATTTAACGATTTAAAAAAAAACTTTATAAAATCTATCTAGGGTTATTATGTGCGATTATTTATTTCCGCATATAATTATATCTACCGTTTATACTCATGTATTTTTTGCATTCTTTTCATGCGATGTCTCAAAAACGAATGTGTATGGATTTAATCAAACTTTGCAGTTTTATTTATGCATGTTCAACTGAGACCTTCATTGCTTTTAGTGACGATCTGATTAAAATTGTTTTATTGAGAAAATCGTTTCGATGGTTAAGTATAGAAATAATAACTAATAAGTAGAAACCGTGTGCAAAATTTTATCTAAATCGATCCACCTGATCTCGAAAAATTTGTAAGAAATGGGTACAGAATTCCGAGTTTGAATTTTTAATTTCCTTAAGATTAACAAAGCGCTATGAATGAGACGCGGTGCAAAGCAATATTTATTTAATTTTAATACAATCTTAATTTTTGTTTATGAATGTTAATTTTTTTAGTTTTATCTAGATTCATCTGAACTATAGCTATATGAATCGCCAATATTCCCAATTTTGTAAATTACATGACACATTTTGGACACTATTTTTGAATAAAAAAATTTCGATTTTTTCGACTTTAGTAATTTAAAGCGCACGTTATAATGCTAGTAGAAATGAGAATAGCGATTAGCCATATTTTGACCACTTATTGGCCATTTGTGGCCAATAGATGACCAAAAAATAGCCAAAAATTGGCCTACGCAATTCTTATTCATTTCAGGGTAATAAAAAACAAATGGTCACAACTATACATCTAATCTTGTACGTATATTATTATAAAACTTATAAAAAATTTTCAGAAATAATTTTGCTGAACATTGGGTTATGCATATACTTAAAATTCGTGTATTTGTGCACTCAAAAAAAAACATAAAAACCCTAGTTCCAGCTAAATATGATTAGCAAATAGAAAATAATCTTTATATTTGATTCACGTCTGTCTTTGGTTCCCCACCTATCTAGGGTTTAGCTGTATTGAATTCGCTTTCCCCGGGAGGAATTTGGAGATCAACTTTCCTGGTCATTTTATTTTAATTTTTAGTTTTTCCAATTGCCATGTATGATGTGATCAGTTTATCGAATTTTTTTATAAATGTAAGTACTTTGAGAGGGCAAGGTGTCAAACCTATGAGAAAAGGCGGCCGATTGCCCGGCGGGCCAGTCCGGGCCTGTTGATCACATAAGAGAAATTTGGAAATTAAAAGAACAGCAAATGAGTCGATATTCATTAAAAAATGTTGCATTATTTCGCATATCAAGCACTAAATCAAACTTACAAGAAAGAAAGATGTATAAGAAAGTAACACAGAGTCCAAAACACAATACACAGCGTACTATAAAAAACTGTAGGAGATACAATGAATACTACAGCACTCTCTTCCTCCTTTCCCACTTGATTTTTTTTTTTAAAAAGAATATAGTTATTAACGAAAACCTTCATTTAACTTACAACAAAGTATTAAATTTGGAAACAGTTTCATTATTTTCACACGAAGAATCTGACTCAGTGAATGACTTGGCTTACTTACCCCCTAAATATTTAAGGTAAGAGTAATAATTTTCATTTTAAAAATATGTATACGTTTATAGCTAGAAGATTAGACAAAGAAATTAAAGATGTGTTGGAAGACTACAGTCAAGACAATGAGAAAAAAGTAAAATTACTTACTGGAAGAAGGGTTACTTTAGCCGAAGAATTAAGTAAGTCAGCTCTTACCTTGGTTTGTAAACATCCATGGAAGTTGAACTGAACAATTTTCGGGCTAGTTGTCACGTCGTTGGTTTAGGTTTCTTGACGTTCGAGAGCCTTAATACTCCTCTTCAGAAGAAACTTTGATTCTTGTGATAAGTCGTCTGGTTGGTATTTATATTTGCTGTGTGCATTCATCCATGGCGTTCTGGTGCCATGGTCTTGTAGTTATTGGCAGTGGTCTTGTAGTTATTGGTTTGTGTCGTTGTGGTCCTAGATTTGAGCAGAGGATTCATTTCCAAATTTGTTAAAAGTTCGTAAGATGAAAACAGATTATCGAAACTTTAACAACTTTTTGAAGTGTGCGGGATATAGTTATGTGTATTTGTATGCTCTAAGATTTTTTATTAGTCAAAACTATTTTCTTAAAAATAACTCTTGACTGATCCTTTTGGAGCAAGGGTTTATTTCATTAATTTTTTAAATTATTTCACCGATGATAAAAGCCTAATAATGAAAAAAGGCGAAAACTGCGCCTAAAGTAATTAACTTCAAAATAACATCGAAGTAGTTCTAATATCACATCTCGATTGAAATTGTCTCGATTTTTCTGAATTTTTAATGTCTTCCTGTAGAGTCTTGGTCAAAATCTTCTTTCTCTTACGAGAATTCTAGTGGCTCTTCAAACATCAAGGCACCTAAAGCGACGACATAACCCGTAAATTGTTCATCCGACTCATCACGTGTTTTACTTAATTTTTATTATCTCAATAATTACAACCTTTTTCAGAACGAGTTCGACAGATACAAGAAAAACTGGAGGAATTTATACAAGCATTAAACAAAGAAAAATGAGATCTAGTCTAATTGTTTTAAGAATCAACTTTTTGCTACATTGTTTCTGTTTTAATTATATTACCCATTTATTTATATCACCATTTTCTAATAAATTTTTATTTTCCTGTAACGCATGATTATACACTATCAGTTTCATTTTTTTTTTTGGATTAACTAGATTTTGATTTGTAATTATTAGAAAATCTAGTGCCCAATTCCGATATTTACATTTATCTTAATATTCATCATGATAAGAAGTTCCACGTATACAACTGTATATAAAAACCGAGTTCATGTGTAATATTTTTCATAAAAATATAATTTGTTAGATATTAATTGTAAAACATTTACCAGTAAAATTATTGTTTTGTTTAAAATAAAAGTTGCCAGTTATATATATTTTTTGCTAGTTCCGTACAATCCCCTCATCAATAAATATATTTATTTTACCAACCATTGAATAATAAACAGAGGTTACCTTCGATCTTTACAAACACATGTCATAAGTTAGTTTTCCCAAATTTTGTTTTTTTTTTCGCAATTTTTTATACCGCACCACTGAACAGGCTCTATCAAACATCTGCGGTGCCAATTTAATTGTTTGTTTTTCACCCACCTAGGGCCTTTTTATCATATCACTGGTGGATTGATATGTAGTTTACCTAAAATAGGTCATCAGATATCGCACACTGAAACTCGCATACCAAACACAGTGCTTTAAAGAAATAGTAAAGTACCCTTAAAAACTTGAGGAGATTAAAAAGTGTTTCAAATTTATCAAATTAATACTTTTATTTCGTTTTGTATCATGTACATTTTATAGAACAGCAAAATAATTATTTTAATTGAAAATAAATTAATTTTACTTACAGATAGTAATGTATGCCTTTCCACATACCAATTAGTTAATATTTAATAAATTGTACAAAAACAATTTTCTGAAAACTTGAAAATTGTTTTAATATGTTTGGTGTTTCATCCCCCCCACCCGCTGCCCGCTAACCTTTTCTGTTTAAGAGACAGTCAGGATCAAGAAACGAAGACAATGACACACACACACATACATACACACCCTCCTTACCCCTCCCCTCCCGCGCTGGGCTAAGGGCCACCTTAGCAAAGCGCATCCCAGGCTGCATAGCCGCACTACCCTACCCAACCATACCACACATAAACATGATACTACCCCCGGGGTTTACACAGACGAGCCGGCGAAGCAAGAAGAGCGCCAGAAGAAAGGGCCCTAGCCGGCGTGCCCAGCCAGGACAAAAGGAGGTCCCACAAAGCGCCTACACCGGCCGCATTTGCGGTCGGGGTAGACGACGGATGGGGCCCACCTACGAAGGCTGTCCAGGCCTACACGAGATGAGGCAGGATAAAGAGGGATAATCCCCCTCGATCCCAAATCATTGAGGCCAATTTCTAGCCATGGAATAATGGCGCGGTGTTTCATCCACGTTGACATCAAAAGGATATCGTAATTGTAAAAATATATTGCAGTCATCAAAATTAATCTGTTTAACAAAATTAATTTCCATTACATTTTTTCTCTGCCATTTTGTTGTTTTCATAAGATATGATTAGTTAAAAAAAAAAAAAAGAAAAAAAAGAAAAAAGAAAAAAAAAAGAACAGGCAACTGATAAATGCATACATACTACTGGGTTTAAATGCATTTTGAAAAAAGAATTATAATTCGACTTCATTTGATTTAAGAAAATTTTATTTCAGATCAGTAATCTGGGGAATATGTACTATTACCCCTAAAATACTGACCTCCCTACTTAAAGTTACATCCTGTACATATTATGCAAAAAAAAATTCCAAAACCTTAAAACACTGGTTTGATTCTAAAGCTAAAATTAATCTTATCGAGGCCCGGGGCTACAGCTCAGAGTAATAAGTAAAGGGGAGGCCGCATTCCCTATTTCAGTACACAATGTAAACATGTAACCTCAACCTATTGTATGTTGATAAACAAATGATACATAAGTAAACACAATGGTCCCTGGTACAGTGGCGTACCGAGTTTAGGTTTAAAATCTATCATAATATAAGGAAACCATAAAAATTACACTTTTTAATAGAATAAAATCAGAAGTGCTCGATTATTTAAGCTTTCATGTGTAATAAATAGACAATAAATAGGAAAAAGTTAATGGTTTCTTCAAAATCTATAATTAATATTTTAAAAACATTTCCAGAACAAAAGAGTGACTAAAGAAAACTCCTCGATTGAAACTATCATTATACTATAGCTATAGCAATGTCATTGCCTACTATTAATTCTATTATTTCATAGTAGTTCTCGATTACTGGAAGAACATTTATTAAAATAAATAATTTAAATAAAACTACAAGAAAAGGAGCAAAAATATATTTAATTAAAATCTGCTGGAATATAAACAATGCAAAGAAAACAAAACATATTTGTACTAAAAGTAACGGAAAAATGAATTTACATTGAACAACATTTAATCGTATGGGAAAATAAGCATGTTTTAAATGTACGCAACAAAAATAAGCTGAATTTTGAGCTCACAACATTGACAGCTCGTCTCTTATGGAACAGGGACAACATGTGATTGAAGATGTTTTATAGCAACATCTATAAAATTTCCTTCACTGGCAATTTCTCGAAGAGGGAACCTTTGAGACGGCACAACCATTTCATCAACACTGTGCTAAAACGTATTACCTTCCAAATGTTGTATTAATAGGCACAGCTCCATGTGTGAGACATCGTTTTCCAGTTACTGTTACCTTAATATCTGTAGCACGGAAATGCTTCGACAGACATAATTATCCTTTGAAAAATCATATTCAGATATGGCGAAATTTTCTAGCCACACTGCTCGTATCGCAGGATCTTATGGTATTCTACAAATAAACACAGAGCTAGTGTCAGTATCAAAATACAAACATAATAAATTAACAAATAAAATACTTAGGACACCTTACACCCTTGTAAGAACGCCCATGGAAACAATGTCAAACTTACTTGTGAAAAGAAGTAGCACATATTTGGCTCTTTTCCTGTAATTGTCGGCATATTATACGCCGCTTTGGCATTTTTATTGAAATTAGATAAAAAAACAGTTTAAAAAGACACAAAACACTGAACTCGGCTAATATCTATTTCACAACAATAGACTGTAATAATGGCGTCCCCTTTAGAACCGTTTAATACCAGGCAATGATGCCACTTACAGCGTTTGTATTGCTAGGAATTTCAATAATGTATTTTTTTTCAGATATTCAAAATCTATAATTATAAAACAAGTTGCAAGAAAATAGTGTCGTAGTCTTATGCATATTACAATGTAACTAATTTGTAAGTCGAAGTCAAGAATGAGGTAGATCCTTGTACGATAATCAATTAAAATGACCGCTGTACCTAGCTATAAAGATAAAAGTGTAACATTGGCATCAATGTCAAGGACATCGCAAAGTACCAATGTTTGTAAATACACATATGTCAACACTTCACTATCGAATGTAAATAAAGGTGTCCCCTTTATTTATTAGTCTGAGGGCTACAGCCCCCGTGCCCCCCACCCCCTTAAGCCGGCCCTTAGTACAGGCTACAGGGATATCCATAGAATATCGTAATAGAAGGATAATTGAAAAGTAGAGATTTTTTCCTCTACAGATTGACAGTACCGACAATTTTTGTGAAAAATATTTTTTAGGTTATGTTTTTATAGGAATTTAAAAATGGAAAGTAATTGTAATATAAATGCTCATAATATTTGTAGAATTTGTTTAAATAAAGATTTGGCAATGAAGTCTCTACTTGAGGAGAATTTTATAACCATTTTTCAAGAAGTTACTACTTTGGAGGTAATATCTGTGCTAAAGCTTCAAAAATTTCTATACAGACATATAATTTTTTAGTATATCGAAAATGATCGTATGCCTAAATCAATATGTTGTTACTGTGTGGATAGTTTAAAACATTTTATTTCATTCAGATTACAAGCTATAGAGAACGATAATTTGTTACGCAGAGTTATATCGGCACAAAACCCTAGTTATTACAAAGATGAAAGTAACGTTTATTTGGATGATATTTGTATCAGTAATGAAACTGATGAATACAAAAATAAGTGTCAAGTTATAGAGAAAAGTGCAACCATAGTTCAAAATGAAAGCCATGCCAGAAACAAATTTGAATGTACTGTATGTAACAAACAAGTTAAAACGATCCATTCTTTGCGAAGGCATATGAAAATTCACTCTGGTATTAAACCTTACAGTTGTACCTTATGTGGAAAGAAGTTTTTAGAACAAGGCAATCTAACAAAACACCTAAGAAATCACAGCAAAGACAAGAAACATCAGTGTAACGAATGTGGTCTGCGATTCTATGAAAGAAATAAATTAATGATACACCTTAGGACTCATACAGGGGAAAAACCATTTACTTGCAAAATATGCAATAGGGCGTTTGCTACACATGCTCAGGTTCAAATACACATGAAGGTAAGATAATATTTTATTTGATCATTTTTTAAGTTTCATCCTAAAAAGTTGTCGAAAGAGATAGATTTAACAAAGATTACAGTTTATCTATGCAAAGACTACCATTTTCTACGACTGGTAGTATATGATTACTTTTATCTTCTTATTATCTGAAATCTATTGTCTTATCTAGTGATGTGAGCCCAAGAAGATTTTCATTCGTTCTTTGAGAACATCCACAAATTTTAGACAATATGCCGCATAATCCCTTACGGTAGTTTCTTAAATTCATGTTTGTTCTCGTTTCATTCTCGTTTGTGCTTAGAAATATTCTCTAAAAATAAATTCTCAAGGATTTTGTGTAATCTTCTCCTACAATATTGTTTGTTATAGCTTGTAAAATCTTTAGTATGTTTTTATACAATAAAGTACTGCAAAATTTAAAAATTTATACTTACATTTATGCACTTAAAAAATCGAACTATTTGTATAAATCCGAAAGTTATCTTAATCTCAAAATATTTGACAAGTACATTAATATACAGGGTGTCCCAGTGTCAGCGTACAAAAATTTACCAGGGGGTAGACCAGGCCAAAATAAGATTAAAATTCTTATAAAATATTTTTCTGCCATGCACTCTCACGGAGTTACAAGGTGTTTAGAAAAAAATAATAACAACTTTCCGCAATAACTCAAAAACCCTTTCAGGGATTTAAGTAATTTTTGGGTAAAGTGTATATCTATTAAAGGTCATTAAAACTACATGGTGCTGATTTCGATCTGACGCCAGGGGCAGCCTAGGCTAACTTGTCCTCAAGGTTATGACTTCATAACTTTTGCATATCCTAGTTTTATATGATTGGATTACGTTTTCCTAAATCTGCAATTGATTCTGAACAAAAAATGTGCTCTTGTTTCATAGCTCAAAAATGAACCGTCTTCGAGTAAATTGGGTCTAAAGTATTGACTGCATTAGTTCGTAAAAAAATGCATGTAAAGATTTAATTTCTTGTTATCTAGTAAGTACCCGTCATTATAAAAAACAAACTTGTTTACCGTTGAGGTACAGTTTCCCGTGAATATGAAGAAACTAAACAAGTTTTCTATGAATTATTTAATATTTGGTTACATATAGGGGAACTGAAAATAAAATTGAAAATTATGTAACAGAAACGAAATTATGTTAGCAAAATGACAATATTAATAATAAAAATAGAAAATAATTATTTCAATAAATGCTCGAAATGCTGCCCATTTACTTCAATGAATGCCCAACATCGTTTGACCAAGGAATTGTAAACCCTTCGCAAATCAACGGTTGCTTGAATTTGCTTGGTGGCTGCATTAATTTTTTGAATTGTCTCTCGTGTTACTGGGTTTGGCATACACCAGTTGTTTCATATGACCACAGTAATAAAAATCAAACGGGTTGAGGTCAGGGAACCGGGAGGCCACATAATAGGTCCATTTTTCCGAATTCAGCGTTCTGGAAAATGTAAATCAAACCACTCCGATACCTGTCTTCTGTTACGAGTAGATGCTCCATGTTGTTGGTAGTACATTTGATTTCTCAAAGATAATTGAACGTCATCTAGTACACCATCAACAATATTTTCTAAAAAATTCGTGTATCTCTGAATTCAAACGGTCTACAATGATTTGAGGAGGCAGAATGACTCCGTTGAAGATTCCTCCCCAGACATTTATGGAGAATCTTCTTTGAAATGCAGAGGGTCGTATCACATGCGGATTTTCAATGGATCAGGTGTGAACATTTTTTAAACTATTTATAACATTTCTCGTAAAGATAGTTTCATCACCCCACTATATCTTTTGATGGAAATTTTCGCCATTATCGATATTTTCTAACAACCACCTGCAAAATTTTTTTCGGAATCACCAGGACGCAAAATTTGTACTTTATGTAGGTGGTATGGGTGCAGTTCTTCTCGGTTTAAAATTCTCCAGACGCTGCTTCGTGAAATACCTACTTGCGTTGATATTCTTCGGGCACTGGTGGAACAATCATCAATAACAGCAGCATTCTGTATTTCCAATTTTAACATTCCCAGTTTCACGGACTCTTTGGAAAACTCATTGGAATACGTGCTGTGAAGGTTGCCTTCTATTTGGAAATCTGTGTAGATATTCTCGTGAGGCCACTAATGAATTTCCATCACAGAAACCGTAGACAAATATCATATCAGCATATTCGTTGTTGGAAAATTTCATAATATTGTTGTTTTGTAAACTTAATTTCTAGTAACTTCGAGTACTGTAATTAATTTTGACATGTACACTTGTAAACAACTTTGTTTTTTATAATGACAGGTACCTACTAGATAACAAGAAATAAAATCTTCACATGCATTTTTCTACGAACTAATGCAGTCGATAACTTAGACCCAATTTACTCGAAAACGGTTCATTTTTGAGCTATGAAACAAGAGCACATTTTTTGTTCAGAATCGATTGCAGATTCAGGAAAACGTAATCAAATTACATAAAACTAGGATATGAAAAAGTTATAAAGACATAACCTTGAGGACAAGTTGGCCTAGGCCGCCCCTGGCATCAGATCAAAATAATCACCATGTAGTTTTAATGACCTTTAATAGATGTACACTCCACCCAAAAATTACTTAATTCCCTGAAAGGGTTTTTGAGTTACTGCGGAAAGTTATTATTATTTTCTAAAAAACAACACCCAACAACGCCAGAAGACAGCACAGAAAAAAAATTTATAAGAATTTTAATCTTATTTTGCTCCGGTCTACCCCCTGGTAAATTTTTGTATGCTGACACTAGGACACCCTGTATATATCCAATGTTTTTATTTTAGACACACACTGGAGAAAGACCGTACACTTGTGATATTTGCCAAAAAACATTCCCATACAGTGGCTCTTTAGACACTCATAAAAAAATCCACACCAACGAGCGTGCTTACATTTGCAACGATTGTGGAAGGTCATTTACTCAGAAAGTCAATTTAATAGGACATATTAGAAGTAAACACACAAATGAGTGTCCTTTCATGTGCAGTGAGTGTGGACAGTCTTACCCAACTCGAGAACAATTAAAAAATCACTCTAGGCATCACACCGGTCAAAAGAAACCACTTATCCATACTTGCAAAATATGCGGAAAAGCATTTGCCTCGACGGGAGAAGTGAAAATTCATACTCGAATTCATACTGATGAGAGACCTTATCAGTGTGATTTCTGTGGAAAAAAATTTAGAGCATCGTCACATATGACATCACACAGGAGAATACATACTGGAGAGAAAAATCACAATTGTAGTTTTTGTGGCAAAGCATTTAGGGAATCTTCGACATTGAAAATTCACGTTAGGATACATACCGGGGAACGCCCCTACAATTGTACAGTATGTGGAATGAAATTTACTCAAAGCAATACTCTCAGCGCGCATATGAAGACGCACGGACATATTCAAGAAATTAAGTAGTAATACTTATCATAAGAAATAAGGAAATAGATAATTTCTAAAAGCATTATAGATTTTTATTAAATGAATTCAAAGTATTTGTGAATCATATTTTGTTCTTGTTTCAATCAAAGACCTATAATTAGCTGGGTGGAATTTAGAAACAGAAAATGGCTTGAATATGAAAATTAATTTTTTATTCCATAAATCTTGTAAAAAAAGGTTTTAAGTAATATACAGAGTGATTCAGTAATAATGTCATTAATTTTAAGAGAAGATAGGGAAAAATGAGTAGAATACGAATACGCGATTAAACAAATTTTAAAATGCATATGCTGAAAAAAAAATTGATATAATTATTTATTATTTAAATCCTTTTTCGGACCGTTCCTGACTGCCAACTCCCACAGACTTCTAATATAAAACAGACTATGCTAGTCATTCATAAATAGCTCTTTGTTTACTTGACATTACTTTATAGTCCATGAAAAGGGGATTAAAGGAGGGGATAATAATGTAGAAAAATGCTTCACATATTTTAAATTAACCGTAGGCGCATCATATAATTTATGTAGCAACTAGCAATAAAAAATTCTTAGTTTATACTTACTTTAGTCCGTAATTTTCATCATTTATTTTTTTCAGTTAATACTTGTTCAGATCTTAACACAATTATTGCAATTAATTTCAGAAGAAAAAATAAAATGGTAATAACTCAGCTTTTAATGCCTTTTTAATCTATATGGAGCTACATCGAATAAAGACAGCTTTTTAGCTAGATACATGAATGTGTAAGATATTTTTTATATTTAAATATTGGCAAGTATTATTCATTTGTTAATAAAAACAAATGTATAAGGATAATGGGCAATTTTTTTCGAACGTTATGTTATACAGTTTAGTATTATTAACGTATTCACTACATTTTGTAATTGAATATGAGTTTTTAGTATTACATATGTTCAACTAATTATTCAGTTTGTAGTATGTATACCTTATTATGTGACTTATTGCTTTTCAATGAGTATGGTACATATCTACCTAATTTAAGACGAGTTCTGAATTAAAGGGAGTTAAGGGGCAACTTGCTTATTTTTTAAAAAATCGAGTAACATTTTTTCTTTCGATTTTCTGTCTTTATTAGGCCTTCCAAACACATGTTTAAAATTAATGACATTATGACTGAATTTCCCCGTATATAAAAAATAGGAATTAGAAAATTTAATAAAAGTAGTGATGATTTGGGTACACTATATAAGAGAGTAATGAATTCATTGACATTAGTGTACAGAGAATATTATAAAAATACTGCCATAGCATCGCGGTTTTCCTTTGCGGTTTCATCCTGAAATTCGTGAGTTTGTTTATGTTATTCAGGGGGCTTGAGAACCAGGAACTTTCACCAAATTTAATTTAATAAGGAATGGGGAAATTTTTACCCAATATACCACAAAAGAATTTTTTTTGGACCAGTATTAGTGATGTGCTTATTAGCCCTTTTATACTGAACTACTTGAGGGTGTGCCCTTAAATGTAATCCATATATGTTTTTTTCCGATAATGCTCCACCTCATTTTAGATGTAAAGTGCAGGATTATCTAAATAATTGATATATCATATTGAACCAATACTATAGCATTCATGGTTTCCAGATTGGAATCCATGTGAGCATTACCTGTGGATTTATAAGAAAAGTTTGGTATGTGAGTGAATACAATAGCAAAAAACTCAGTCATCTTAAAAATGCATGTTATTGGCCTGAAATTACTCCCAAATATGAAAAAAATGTGGATCCACAGACAAGATGTTTGCTGGAGCACTGTCAAAGAGCAAAACTATTTCTGGAAAAAAAAAGAATTGAAAAAGTGGAAAATTGAACAAAGAAAAAAATAATTATTACCAAAGAAACCAAAATTCCTTCATGTGGATATGCGAAAGATGTGTATAGGTTTCGAAAAGGATGAATATATTTTATTTTAAATTATTATTTTAATAAATTGTTCCAATTTCATTCAATGTGGTGGTTGTTCTTACTATAATGATGATCTTTCCTAAAAATCAATATTTTTTATGAGTCATTGTTACAAAAAGCAAAATTTTACCAACATACTTTAACATTAAATTATTTAATTTGAAACTTTTTTGCAAAATATATGGAGTAATTTTTTTTTAAAATTAGGGTTAACGAGCTAACGACTAAAAATTTGTATCTTGCAAAATCAATAAAATGAAAAGAAGAAGAATATGAAAACATGTAATTTAAATAAAAGATATATTTTACTTGTACAATTTTGTTTACGCTCCCATTAATAAATAGGTAAATGTAATATTTGATTAATCTACTAATTGGAGATTATCAAACTTCTCGGTATCATAAAATGAAGCTTTCACTTGTCTGCCCCCAAAGAACCGACCGTTTAAGTCGACTACTGCTTTAATAGCGCTTTCTATTCTTAGAAATTCCACAAATATTCTAACAGCTTCTTCGTGGTCGTCATGAGGTATTTCGTGTATTATTACACTACCCACCGGACCATATTTAGTATTGCATTCATCCTTAACCTCTGGTTCCAGATCATCATCTACTTCTCCAGGACCCACCATATTTTTCAGCAGTACCACCTAGAAGATAACGATCTTTAATAATTTATGTTTGCGTTAAGACAAATTTTTAAGAAGTGTACAATATAAATATCTACATTCATGGGACAGACACGTCTACATTGAAAATAATATAAAGGGGGAATGTACCATACAATTTTATCATGTGGAGTATGGCTGCACCCAATATATTTTCATTTAAATGTCTAGCTAAGTTAAATTTTAAAATAGTTTTAAATTTTTTTGAAGGCAAATACAGTGAAAATCGGTTATAACGACCTTCAAAGGACCATTTGTTTCCGGTTGTTATAACCGATAAATGTAATAAGCAATTACATATATTTTATTTAAAATTTTTATAGAAAAAATGAGAAATTTTTAGTATTTAAGTATGTACATGTATTGCTTTGTGTTCAAAAGATCTCGTACGCTTCATTTTCAATTAATTGTTTTCGAATAGAGGCTTTATTTTATTTCTATCCTTCCAAATTGTTGAAATCATCGTAGTATGACACGCCACATTCTTTTGCTTGCTTACATTAGTTTCTCCAATTTTTAGTCTCTATATTATATGTGATTTTTCTTCTTTATTATAAACATTTTTCTTTTCGACATGGATGTAGAAAGTGGTAATAGATAAATATATATAACTGTATAGATAAGTCGTAATTTGTCCCAAACGAACTAACAGGTATCAAAAGACGGGAGACGGGCGGAAGAGCGGTGCATTGGTTTTAAGGCCGTATATCACTATTGGTCGTTATAACCGATAGATTCTATGGTAAATGTTTATAAAAACGCATCGCTAAATCGAAATGTTGTAAATGGTATCATAGTAAACAATATTTTTAATATGGTATTTCTATAGGATTTAATTGGGACTTCCAAATTCCGTTGTTAAATCCAATATGTCGTATAAAGCAATGTAGTTATAACCAATTTTCACTGTATATTCAATTATCTTGTATTTAATAAACAGAATATCTCAAGCCAGCAAGGGTGGGCCATGACTAGCTCATTGTTTTATAATATTAGTGTGCCAAATCAGCCGAATTTCCATAAGGACCTAATTGTTAACTTCATTACCAATCATATGTTGCATGACAAACCTGTAGTGTGGCAACTTCAATGTTACTTTCTTGAAATATATATATTTCTAATCTAATCTAAATCTAATTCTTTTATAAATAATGTCTGCATTTTTTATCTATTTTAAACTTGAAAAGATACATTTAGATTATTCCCAGCCCATATACATTAAAACATTATTAGTTTTAAATATTTTAATTTATTATACTTGTAACCGTAACTGTGAAAGAGCATGTCAGATGTATTTGTATGAATAATTAGATCGAAATTTGTTTGAATTTTGAGCACTCGAGAAACTTAGAAATAACTATGAGCACGAGATTAAAACTCTAATAAATGTTTTATTGTAACTTGTGATGGTAATAGTTTAAATAACTAAGTGGATTTCACAAGGCCTAACGACACTAGAGTGTATGATAATTCAAGAAACATAGAAATCTTAAAAAAATATAGATAAAATTTGGAACAAATACATTGAAGATTAATAATAGAGACAAAACGTCTGAATCTGGTTCGAGCTGAGGCAGTACAATATTGGGGGACATGAAGGCTTGCAAAAAATGTAATAAAATTTCCAGGGTCGTATTTAAAAATATGAAGTTGATGATGGTCCTGGAGAGACAAAACATTACATATAAAAATTGATTATGCCATTTGATAGAGGGCAAAAAATTGCCATGAGAAAGTGTTCTTCTTTTTTCAATATCACCTCAAACGAGGCTGAAATTAAACAAAAAAAGATTTCCAAAATTCGTTTTTTTTTTCAAATATTTCGAAAACTAATCATGATTTTTTAGAAGCATAATGTTGGTCCCCTGATTATGCAACTTTGTCCCCATTTAAGCTATTTCGTATATCTTACCGTTTCCGAGATTCACTATTTTGGAACAGTAATTTGATTTCCTTCAACTTGTCAATTAAATTTCGGAAAAATTAAAAATTATTAAAACAATAAGATCAATATTACATTAAAACAACATTGTTTCATGGGCTGTGATTGGTGTAATTTTTCATGAGATTCTATTCAACCAGTCAGCGATCGCATTATCTCGAGCGTAGGCGTAATGATTTGTTCACGGTTTGTTACTGTTCATTGTACATGAATCATTATTGGTGATGTCAAGATTTAGGGATTTTTCGGTTACCGATCAGTTACCAGTCGTGCAATGTTGGGTTGCCTAAGCTCGGGGGTCACATGGCTTCTAAACATTTATGAAGGCTCTTTAGATAGAAAAAATATATATAAACACAAACATAAACCTCAACAAATATGTAACATTTATCAAAATTTCTGAGACATGTCAATATAATGATCTAAATAATCAAGGCAGCCTGAAAAAAAAATCCTGAAGTGTCCTGCCATGCATGGAGACTCGCTGCAACAGGGCAATGGAAAATACTAGAAATAGCACGTATGCTGTGATTCAGCGAACGATAGAGATATCTTGCTATCAAATGTAAAAAAAGAGTATTTCCATTGCTGTTACAATTTTCTCACAATTTTTTTCATTTAAAATCTTTTAAATACTGGCTTTTTATCTTTTAAAACTGCACATTTTAAGCTTTTGCATTGCTCTCATATTAACAGTTTTTCTATTTGCTTTGCTTAGCATTTTGAACATGTACGACATAAACAGCCTAGTAGAATACCAAGTCATAGTATAAAAGCAATGCAAAAGTTCAGTGTGAATATGAATTAAACAAATAGCAAAAATTTTTAGTCTGTGCTAACTGTGGCCAAATTATTATAGTAATTTTTTTCTAATTATCCATCAAAATTGAGAGAAAAATGTAGCAGTAATAAACATTGAATTTAGTAGCAAGATTCCTCTCAAATATTTAGCAAAACTCAGAATCACACAATACGTAATTTTATATCTGTGGCATCCAAAAATATTCACATATTAGGGTAGTGATTTTCACAAATTTCAAAAAGATACCTATATCTTGAAAATTGAAAAGATATTTTAATAAAGGTCGAATTTAGTTATCACCTCTTGCCGGTTTGATGATGACTCTTGGGACACTCGTTTACTAAATTCCACATACCTTACTAGGATTCTTCATTATTTCTGTAATCGTGGGTTGTCCTGGAACTTGATTTTGTACCCCTAGTGAATCTTCGGATTGCAAAGGGGGTGAAAGGATTTCTTTTTCATGAATAATCCTCCCACCTCTCTTTGAAGTCTTTTCTACTTGTAGAGCACTTGACATTCCTTGCTCCATACGACCCAAACCTTGTCCCTCTTTAAACCCATATCTAGCCATAATTTTGGCTGCCACTGATCCACCATAACTACTTGTAGATGGCTGAGGTTTGTTAGGGAATATAGGAACTGGTTCGGCTGGTTCCTGAAGACTGGGAGGTGGGGCTATCGCTACACCTCCACTCGGCCTAGGCTGTTTTGCTACTGGTTCTTCATCCTCTTCTTCATTCCACCTTCCTGCAACCCAATTGCATAATCAATTACAAATAAAAATAGTCTTAATGAGTATTTACCAGCAAACCCGCTACCAATGGGTGGTTGTGTCATTTGTGGTGCAGGTGGTATTGAAGGTGGTGGTGGACTTTCTTCAGGATCATTAAATCTACTTTTCCGTTTTTTCTCTTTTCGTTTTTCCTCTTTCTCACTTCCTCTGTCTCGATGGTCTCTCATTTCTTTTACCACTTTTTCATATTCGTTTGGCCATAAAGGATCATATTCATCGACAACATTCCAATCGTATTCACTGCTGTAAGTGGATGAACTTATTACAGGTAATCTAGATTCAACCTTTCCTTTAATGTTTATTTTTGGAAAAGTAGGATATACATCATCATCGTCTCGTTTAGATTTTAGATCAATTACAGGGGCCAGACTAGCTTTACGTTGTTGTTCACGTTTAGGTTGTGTCACTGTAGCTTTTTTCAGTTGTAATTGCGATTGCAATAGTTTAATACTTGATGACCATCCTTGCACTTTTTCTGTAGCTGTGGTTTTAACATCATAATCATCATATAACGACATTTTTATTTAAAATTATATTATTGATGCTACAGCAATATTTAATTCTCAAATAGTCTCAAACCGCCAAACAAAAATATTACAGTCACAAACACAAATAAAATGATACAAATTACTTCAAAGTCAAATAAAAACAAAAATATTTGTCTATATTTAGTGTCCACACTTTTTTTAGGTTAATTGCCTTGTGTCCTCTTCTGTTTACTGTTTACCTTCTTCCTTCTTCCCAAGGATATTTAACAAATATCCTTGCCTTCTTTCTTCTTTCACTAGCTGCTTTCCAATTGACAAAAGTTGTACTTCGGAACGGATCAGAAGCACTTCAGGAACATTAGAGTAACAGCACAGCAAAATAAATTAGTGATGGGACTACTCGAATGAAAATTATCGATTATATCGATTATGAAAATCTCTCGAGATATCNATTATTTCAATATATTTTTAGATAAAAAGGAATACATCTGCTTTTAAAAGATTACAAAATATGATTAATAAGTTCAGCACTATTCATGGAAAAAATGAAGATTGAAAATCACCTCATATTTTTCAATGTAGCATATAAATAACAGTTTGTAGTACTACTGTATTCTATTTGTATTTATTGCATTCACCCTTCAGCATAATATTTTCAGAGAAAACACAAAGATACAAGTATGACTTTTAATATACTTTATATATATACTTTAATATACTATGACTATTAATTATATAGTGGCTGCACAAATCTGTCTAAAACTGACTTAAGATACAGTACTAATAGTGCAAATATATTATTTAAATATGAGACTATGAATTTTTTCTTTGTAAATATGAAGCTATAAATAATTTTCTGTGTATATGCCAGAATTGTTATTTCTTACTTGTTTGAAATGCTAAGCGTTAAATAATGAAAATTTAACTTTAAATCTTGGTAATTAATTTACATACTTTATTTCTTGAACCCAATACTAATTCGGTCGAAAAAAAATAGTAATAAATATCATTCGTCGTTGTTTAAAACTATATGGAACCGGTAAACGGTTTATTCCAAATCAAGGCCGTTCCTGAAAAGAATATTGGATAGAAGGGACACAATTTTGAAGGTGAACCCTATACATCGATATCAGTATGCCTACCACAGACCAGCTAGACTGGCTTATAGAGCGACTTTTGTGAAAACACTTTGGAGCCTGATTTGGAGCCCAGCGCTCAGTCGTGTCCTAGCATTTGACGTGTACGCATCGCTGTGATTTCGATAATTAGACGTTTTATCATGGGCAAATATATTGTAAAATAGAATATAATAAAATAGAAGGAACATATAAAAGGTAAATATGTACGCCATTTTTTCGGTTGACGTCACAAGTTTCCAGGGTTAGCTTTATAATTTTGTTCACCCACATAGTGTAGTGATTAACGTGATATTGTAATCATAAAATAATGAATGAATTACTGTAAAATATTTTTAGTAATTATTTATTTTATGTGTGTCTCAAATTTTTATGAAATTTTACCAATTCCTGTCATTTCGAGATAGCTGAAAATTAATTAACTATTTTTTTCAATTGAAAAAATCGCAAATAAAACTAATTTCAGATTCATGTTCAGCACCCTGGAAAAGGAGAGTTGGCAAAATGCGATTAGAAAAATTAGAGAGTTTTGTCACAAAAAAAATAATTAAGTACGCTTCGATTTTTCAAACCTAATATTTAAATTTTTACAGATTTCCAACGAATGTTGACATAAAACGAAGATGGGTGAAGGCTATTAAAAACAGGACTGGACACTAGTAAGTACATTATAGTATATATTGGCGGTTTCGTAATAACAAGTTCTTATTATAATAAGGATAAATGCATAATAAAGCCAATAAAATGTGAAGACTGTGTAAATAGTTTAATGTCAAATATATAGTATTCGTACAGTCAATTAATTTTTATTAAAGATCTTGGTTGTTTGACGTTCCATCTCGAGATGTCGTAGTAATATGCCAAGAAACAGAAAATTTAATAAAATTTTTTAATAATGATGAAAGCAGAACACCTAGGCTACAGAAAAATAAAATCGTTTATCATGTATTAAAAAACTTTCTAAATGTGAACATATATGAAAATTTGCATGAACATCAATTTGATAATTTGCCTAACAATTGTAATAATTTAATAGAACTTGTAAGGGCTGAATGTGAAAAGTATATCGATGTACGAATAAATCATCAAGTCAAATTATTTAATTCGGTAAAATCTACGAAAAGACAAATATTAAATAAATTAATATTATTTAGAGGACAATAAATATATTTAAATTATTTTGTAGTTTTATTTAATATGACACTAAAATTTTCTGAATGACAAACTTAAAATTGAATATTTGTCATAAGATGCAATATAATGTTTAATATGTAATAAAAATATTACTTAATCCGGATCTGCTTAAAGATGCGCGCGATCAGATTGCCTTCCACACTCCACTTCCCCGGATTTTGCATTCACTGGTACCCGTGCATTGGAATTAGATACGGCCAGTCTAGGTGGTCTGTGATGCCTACAAACCTGGCGAATTAGTCATTACAATGGCTTTATAACCTACTTTCTAGAGTAGAATATGTGCTGGACGAGAAAAAGATAGTTATTTTTGGACACAGTAAGGGCTTTTGACAATAGGTACCTCTTGTAAAGCCTTAAATGCTACCAGACCGTGGTAGGGGCTAACATACCACTCTATAGGTAGCTTTGTTTTGGTTCTGAAATCAAGAACTGCATGCTATTAGTACTTAATTGACGGAGAACTGTATTAAACTGTATCCTGAACTGCTTGAAAACTCCTAAAAAACGAAAATGGCAGTCGGTCGTCCCACAATGTTTTCTGCATATACAGGGTATACAGGGGAGCTCAAAATAGTTATAGTACTTCATAAAAAAAAATCCTATCGGGCCTCGTTGTGGAATTATTCGTCATCAAAGAAAGAAGTTTGAAAAACAAATTCCAATTATAACTTCTAAATCGTTACCATGACAACATTGAAATTTGGTCAATTAAGGTAAGTCATGATAATGTTCATTTCCAAGTTTAAACTGATATTTAATATGATTTGATATGGATTATACAGGAGTAGACGAAATTATCCATTTAAATTTAAAAATCATAAAGTTAATTTTTAATTTGCATTTTTCGCTCTGACTAGACTTACATCAAAAACCTGTACCTAAATGATATTTTTATAGGAAATTAAATTTGCTATAAAAGGTCCTTAGTATCTAAGCTTACCTGATTACCTCTTTAGTCTAGTATACTCTGAATTTTTGGATTTTGATATTCACAATACCAAAAAGTCAAAGATAAAAAAAAATATGATTAAACATATCAGCTGACCCTCCCAAATGTGACGCCTATGGTTACAATTAAAAGATCATTTTTACATCTAAACGCTTTCCGTATGAGTGTTAACCTAAGTTTGATCCTTGTAGATAAACATCGATCTGGACAATTAAAAAAAAACAATGTCAAACATAAAGTAGTTAAAAAAATTCTTATTACGGCCCTGATCAGTGCTTCTCCATCCAAGAGCAACGAAAACGGCTCAATGATGTGTTTTTGTTTTTACATCTAGTAAAATATAATTGTCACGTTTTTAAAAATCTTATAAAAAAGTAACTGAACGTTACATTTCAGATATAATTTACCCTTAATGTAGGTAAGTTTAAATATAGTTTTGTGTATAATTTTACATATTAACGCTGCTTTCCTACGATTACAGTGATATAATTTTAAAATTCTATCTTTATTATTAAGGAAGACTTGACAAAAGGGTTTGCGTTAAACACAATCGGTTAAATCGTTACTAAGTGATATTTATAAAATTATACAGTATGTCAGTATGTCCTGTTAAAAAAAACACGAGTTTGGTTTATATTTTCCAAACGTAAATATGCTGCGATGTAAATTACCCTCAAAAAATTTCTAAAATCTGTCTTTACCAATTTTCTAAGTAGATCTTCACACAAGCATTTTATGTTTTCAACTGAACTTCTTTAAAATTGTCGATAAATAAAAAAATATTTATAGAAAATTTATGATTTTGGAAAATAAATTCATACATTTTATTACTTTTTCAACCAGAGAAGAATTAGGCGATAATTTTGCACAAGTGTAATATCGACAATTTCAATAAGTAGTAGTGCAACTATCCGTATTTTACAAATAGTTTAATATACACAAGTTTTGATTTAATTTTTTTTATTTACAAATGTGTTGTAACTAATGTAACATTGTTAAACTAAACAGGTTTGACTTATTGTTAGTTGTTAAAATTTTGGCCCTTTAAATGTTAAGAGGAAATCATAATAAATACTTATGTTATTCCGTGTCACCTAGTTTCGACCGACTGCCGAAATACGAGGCATATCCACAAAGTAAGAGTACTGAGACTCTGATGCTCTGTGGTTTTTGTTTAACACTGCATTCAAAGCCAAGGTGTTGGGAGCAGAACGGTGGGTAAAGAGCTATAATCCCGCTCAACACCGCTCCATCCAAGGTCATATATTCAGTCAAGGATATTGGCGCAGAGCTGAAAGCGCGCTCATTTGTCTCAATCAGTTGAGAAGTGTTGTTGTATTAGCGCTATTCGAATCCCGATAATTACGAAGTCAGTCTTGCAAAGGAAAAGGCGCCGCTGCAGATTTTTAACGAAATCAAAACTGTTTATGGGACGAAAAGAGAATCAGTATTGTGGCAACATCCGTCTTCACCATCAATGAAAAATCGAACCGAAAAATTAAAGCAACTTTGTTTTAGGAAGGTATCAGAAAGTTCATCCCTCGGTTCACAAAGTGCATTGAGGTTGAAGGCGACTACGTCGGAAAAAGGTGTTTGATGTACCTTTCTGTATATGTACATTTTTCATAATTATGTATACCGCCGTTTTGATTTTTAAAAAATTGACTACTCTTTATAGATATACCTCGTTTCGTATCATACAAACTACATGTGAGTTGTGTAAATATTTTATAAAGCAATGGAACATATTTAACATTATTTGTATTTAAATTAAATTAATTAATTAATTATTTGAAAAACCCAGACGATCCACTTTCTCCCTTAATTGTTTTCCAATAGTTCTCTAGTTCAATATTTTCCCAGTGCGACTCTTTGAGTTCAGTAGTGAAAATTCTAAAACCATGATTTTTTAAAAGAAATCATCTACACTGCTTTATTACTCTTACTTCATTACATGGTGATACATCTCCTTTTCCTTTTCAGATAGCCCTTCTAATAATACGTTTAGGTTATAATCCAGAAGTTTTGTTGAATTCATCCCTACCAAAACAGTATCTGGTCCATCCTGTTGTAGACTGTGGTAAACGGCAAGTTTTCCCAGCTCCACGTTGTTTTTCTATAAAATAAGATATGTTTTCTATTAAATTATTGGCAACATTAATAATTTCGTGTATCTTTGGCATTAAGGCGAACCAATAACAGACGAAGCAGCACTTAATAATGCAGAGATTTTATGATTCGTTTTGTTTTCATATGGGAGACTGTATAATGAAGAGTATGCGAAAGACTCTATCACTATCAAAGAAAAATTAAACCTGGGAAACTAATTTAATATTTAAAAATTTATATCCACATCTAAATAGGAAGTTTGTCAAAAAAATCTACCCAATCCATCTATCTTGATTACACCGGAAGTAGCAGTTTACTTTTTTTATTATAAATGTGAGTCCCTAAATGTTGCTTTTGCGGGTACCTTCAAAACCTTCAAAGACAAGACAATGAAATTTTGAACTGAGTACTACTTAATGTTTAAAATGTACATAATTCTAAACATTCCGAGGCGTTTCAGACCAGGGGGTTGTTTTTTCAAGTACTTTTTATTTTTCAATCCTCACTTTTCATTCGACGTAATTAGAAAAGTGAAGAGTAATTCTGTTTTATAAAAAAATGCCCTAATCTGCAAAGTAGAAGAATGTAAGTGAGAAGTTGCAGAAATCTTCCGAGTTCTTGAGTATCTGCTTTTTGAAAAATAGTACGTTACGTCAGTGCCTATCCTGTTTACTTTTCAACTCCGCACAATATTTTGTAAAGAGTATTGTCTATTTGCTTAAATGATTTCTCATGAATCAAAAACACACTAAATAAAAAGGCGATAAGCAACTTATAAAAGGAAGAGTTCTGTAGAGAATATATTTTGAAGGTATGAATGATTTTCTCTCTTAAATTGGCATGTACAGGGTGTAACTAAAATACTTGGACAAATTTTAAAAACGGATTCTGTGTTAAAAGTCAACAAAGAGAGTTACTGTAAACAAGTTTCTTTCAGAAAAATAATCGATTTTTATAAATTAAAAAAAAAACTGGCAGAGGCAATTTCATTCAAATATGAAATGTAGCTTCAATTTTTTATTATCTGAAAAAATATAAGCATATCACCGTATTAAAGGCTTTTCAAAAGTAGTTCCATTAGGTACTGCATATTACTGGAATGCACTGTTTTCGAGATAAATGATAAAATGTAAAAAACTTTGCAAACTCCACTTTTCACTTGCTACTTTGTTACTATTCACTTTCCTTTGTTCTCACTTTTCGAACCATAAAAATCATAAAACAAAAAATAGCCCAAAAAGTGAAAAGTAAGGAGTGAAAAGTTGAATAGGTACTTTACAAAAACAGGCCTCAGGGCTATAAAAATAATAAAATTTAGATAATTTTATAGTGAAAAATAACTTTTTCAATAAGTTGTAACATTTTGGAGTAAAATTGAATTAAAAATTATGTATTAAAATATTCTACGAAAATCACGAAACGAAATTTGTGGACACGGCCCATAATTGGAAAATAATAATTGTAATCAATAATCATTTTATTTGACAAGACTAAATAAAAACTGACTGCAAAGAACACTAAATTATGTTATTAAAACGTAACTACTTATAGGTACCTATTGAGTTTTTTTAGAGTAAACAGTCGGATTAAATAAAAGTGAACGAAAAACAGACAAACATAATTTAGTTATTATGCTGAACATTCATTGTCTCCTTGTAGTCTTCTGATGCTGATGTTGACTTGCATGTACAAAGTTATTTTTCTAGTCTTTTTTGGGAATACTTTTGTTTTTTTTTTCATTATTTCTCTTTCGCTACACAACAATAGCATTTATTTTATACAATATTATTATTCGATTCGAAGTTCAATATATTTTCACGGTAAATGTTTAAACTATCGGTCGGCTATCAATTCAAATGGTTTACAATTGTCCTCTAAATTTAGGGGAGGTATTGTTATGTTAAATTGAATATATTATTGTTGAAAAGCGGCATGATATCCGCAACACTCTGCCACTTGTGACCCTATTGTGCATGCCGCTAGTAATAGAATTTTAAACAGATCGGTGTTACGTTCAAAAGCGAGCACTAGCTCTGCAGGAGTCTTTCTAATGTCCTTAGATGACAGACGTGCTCCCCCTGGTAATTGCCTTTTCACCATTAAACATGCACCGTGACAGATATGTACGGAATCCTCGCCTGCATACTCGCATAACCTGCAACTTGCATTTTTTTAGCATGTATCATAATGTTTAAATCAATATGACTCTCGAACGATTCAATTTATTGAAATCACTCAATTTAATGAAATATTGAATATTATTTTTCATTGGTGACCGCTAAATGACCGTTCTTTGAAAAATCGGTAACTTACAAGAAGCCTGGAACAAAATTTAGTACCCTTAGGACAACCCTGATTAAAATTTAGAAGTTACTTTTGAGCATTAGATTCAAATTGTTATAGTAAGATCCAGTTAGAAATTTTATTATCGAGAACGGTTTCAGCTTTATCTGGAAAAAACACAACTTTTGGTTCAGCTTTAGAGGACTGCAGCCCCTTATCCGCTCGTGTTCATATAAACTTTTCTCTTATTTTCAGTCGCAGAATACGCTGGAAAAATATTGCTGTCTAATTTCGCAATACCTTATATTATAAAAAAATATTGGAATATATAATTACCGTCAACAAATATTAATACTGACAAGTAACGTTAATCACACCTTCAACAATGTCAACAATGACTATGCGATGATACAAGTGATACCTACTTCATCTTATTTAAGGGGGCGATTTAGTATGTATATTTTTACAGTGTAACAGAGCTTCAGATGAGAACACAAATCATCGAAGAAACTAACATAATTGAATATTATTATACAGGGTGCCGAAAATTAGTAGGTCAATCCGTTAACCATAGATAGCTGATATGAAAATAATGGGACTTTCATTATGCCACTTTTCATTTAGGAGCCCCATTTTTGAAATACAGGGTGTCAAAATGTAAATTTCAAAAACGAAAGTCCTCGAGTAAAATGACAACATTTTACACACGACTCTATATTTATTTCATATTTAAACCAGAATTGTAGTGATTTCTATCTAAATACAAGAATTTGTAAGTATAATTAGTTTGTATACTCTGTCACAGGTGTTGCTACCCTTGAAAATTAAAGCGAAAATACAGAGTTGGCTTATAAAATGCGTGCTAAAATAAAGCATAATGGTCTAATATTATCTTTGATATATAAATATGGGTAATTTTTTAAAAGTACCTAAGTAATAAGATTTTGTAAAGCTTAAGTAGTACGAAAATATAACGCATAAAAAAACAATAATATGTACTAATTTTTCTTTATTAAGAATAAAGATTAAATTTTACGTACAGGGTGTCCTACATAAAATCGTTATTTATGTTCTAGCCTTGGTAGCTTCAAAATAAATTTACAACTTAAAAATTAGTCTGGCTCAGGTAGATTTCTTTTTCAATCTACAAATCAGTAGCTACTTACCGATAAGGAGGAAACCACTGGATATTTAATGAAAAAAGTGACCACCAAAAAAGTAATTCATTCTTGAATATGAATATAACTAACACAATTTTAATTTCATATTGTCTTAACAATCAACTTATTTTTAGTCACTTTCTAAACATTTAACTGATCCAAAATAAAGAGATTTGGAAGTTTGGACACCTGAAGATGGAAGGTCAAATACAGAATGAAATGTTAAAATTTAAACTTGCTGTTTGTTGTATGTGAAAAACATCATGAATTGCTACCAAAACTGCAACTATACTTAAAAAAGTTAACCTGATGACAGCCCCGGTAAGGCGAAAAGTTGTATAAGAAATCGGATAGAGGGCAAACAGTGTCAATGAAGATGGGTTTGCAGATTTTCAATATTGTTTCAAATAAGGCTAGGCACAAAAAAGAAAATAAAATAGTTGCTTTTTTTCAGTTTTTCGCTTATATTTCCAAAAATAAGCCTCTAATCGACACGAGGTATACTTATTGATTTTGTTCCTGAGGAAATTTGCTACAAGGGTAGGCTTTTGCGAAAGTTCGCAAATTTTTTTTTTTATTGCAAAATTTGCGGTGAATAGAAAAATGTACTAAATTTTCAGAATTAAATAAAAATAACAAATTTGACTGAAATTGGATGAAACTACAGGAAAAGATAACTGTTGGGGAGCTCAACAAATACCTGCAATCCGGACCCCAAAAAAAAAATGGCGGCGTATTGCAAAATTATATTGTCGGAAACGCGAGCGCGTGTATCTTTTGCCCAAGTCAAGATATCGAAATTCCGCAAGAAAGGATCTAAAGGTAATTACATTATCTCGCGTCTGTGTAAATTTCAGATTTTTAAGTTGCAAAATAAAAAAAATTGCGAACTTTCGCAAAAGCCTACCCTTATAGCAAATTTCCTTAGGAACAAAATCAATAAGTATACCTCATGTCGATCAGAGGCTTATTTTCGGAGATATAAGCGAAAAACTGAAAAAAAGTAATTATTTTATTATTTTTTGTTATAAACAATATGACGCTCGACCTCTACAAATACACAAATTTTGGCTTTTATTCTAGTGTATTTTTTACTTAATTTTAAACCCATAAAATTCGAGGTAGCCCCGATTTTTGAAAAAAAAAACCTAATTCGCCCGGACTACTACACTTGTTTTATTCATTATTCAATTCCTCAAAAGTCTTCAAAATTAAGAAATAAAAAGTTGTCATTCTGGGAACAATTGTTTATACAATTTTGACTCTTTTTATGAACAAGTATTTGTAGAATAAGCTTTAGAAGTCGATTTTTCAGAGCACTATATTTCATTTTTCAATAAGTATTTCGTTCTAAAAAAGTTTTTTTTCTGTTCTTCATTAGTATTATTTTTGGTTTTCCATTTAAAAATTAAAGTAAGTAGCAAAAAAAAATAGTGTATCTGGCAATTGAACTCAGATCCTACAACTGCAGGCTAATTATATTTGAAATCGCATTATATTCGAAAGAAACGCCCCTACTAGAGCCGTCAGCTTCGAGTCAGCCGATACATGTAGCGTGCGCGTACTCCCCAAATGCCTTCCCCTCTCTTGCTTAGTAATTGTCCAAAACATGACATAAATTTATTTAATTTTAATAAGCAATAGCTTACAATCGATGTAAAAATTCACTGGGAACACGATGGCGCAATTATTTTTTTGTTACTTGCCGTAGTTTAGGAGATATTTGCGAAAAACCTTATTTTTTACGGTTTTTTTACCTTTTGACCCCTTGCCTGACCACCTAGGTCAAAAATTTTGCGGATTCGGATTCCTGAGGGTCGAAAACATATTTGCGCCCAGGTTTGATCGACAGAGGAAAAAATGGAGGTTCAGCCTTCATTTCAATGGACTAAATAGATACAATAATATTTTATATATATTTTATGCCTATACATATTATTCTCCAAACGTAATTAGTAGCAAGTTTCTATATATTTTAGTAATTAGACAGTATTTTTTAAGTTAATACGACTCGCCAAAGTAAAAAAATAATTCAGGTTAGGTATATATTTTTACTGAAAATAGCAGTTAAGTTACATTATCGGATTGTTAATGTGAAAATATAAACATTAGACTGTTGCCTATTCCATGTTATACTGTTTTAAGGTCACTTTTGAAGAAGAAACTACACGTAATTTTAAAAATCGTATTTCTGCTTTTATTCTGAAGGAATAGTAATTATAAGATTGTTTAAGCTTATTAACTAAAAATTAATGTCTACTTAATAAAAAAAATATTATTGTCCTCGATAATCTATTACTGATTAATAAAATATTTACTCTCTTTCCTTGTAAGATTGTATGTACAAAAATTGGAGCCGTTCCTGAAAAATCGGACGAATATCTGGTGCAGCGGAATTATTAGACTTGAAGTGTTGGCCGCTAGAGCAGCACCTGCCGGGGTCCCGTTTCGTGACACACGCTGGGCGATATTTTTTGTACAAAATCCCGTTCTTAAATAATAATCAACAATTATTTTCGAGTAAAAAATATAGGTTGAAGTATTCTAGGCATTTAAGTGCAATCGAAATTGCACTTAAAGTTGAGTGGAAAATTTTATTTAATTTTCCCAAATCATGGAAACAAACAATAAATTCAATTTCAGTCACAAAAGAATATTTTACGATTACTGCCTTACTTACCTTGCAGTATTCTCTAGCTTCGGTACAAACATCTTTAATGTGTTGGGATGCTGGGTGCCACTGAGGGGGCCCAAAATTGCTAAGCAGTCCCATAGAATTTGCTGCTGCATTAATGATACCTATGTTGTTTTCCTGAAGGAGTTGTTGGAGAGAGTGTAATTAAATTGCTGGCCAAACTTTAATGGCAGATTCTACGTCATATCTAATGAAAAAATAGTCCCTACGAATATGTGTTTTTTTAAACACCCAAAAACGCCTCAAATTTTATATGCAGCAATTGGTTATAATAATACAGACCGACAAGATTTTCACCCAACAACACGAATATACTTTCCCAAAGGATTTAGGTGTGCTGAATTCGAATCCGAGGTTCAAATTTCTCAATGGACTGTGGTTTTCGAGATATCCTAACCTAAAAGTGCCAAAATCGCGATTTTTTGACATATTTGAGGTTATATTATATTACATGGAAAGGTAATTTTTTGCTGAAACCATAAATGGGGTCTTAAAGTACTGTACTTACTCTTTTAAAACACACTTGGATTTATCTCGATATCATTTTTCGTTTTTGAGAAATCGCATGTTGAGTAGTTTGAATTATTTCTCAATTTTTGAATGTACTCACAACACAGCACCACAAACCTAAATTCATCGGCATCCGGAAATAAGTGTCTTACATGTTTTTTGATATCGCTGATCACGAATCTGAACTCCACTTATGTGTTTGAGGTTTGTGGGTTTATAGGCTTGTGGGTTTTTAAGTTTACATGCTTGTGGCTTTGAGTTTAGAGTTTATGGGTTTAGAGTTTCTGGGTTAAGGGTTTATAGACTTCGTTTTAAAGAGTAAGTAGTACTTTAAGACCCCATTAATGGTTTTAGCAAAAAAAATTACCTATCCATGTAACTTAACTTCAAATATGTAAAAAAATCGCGATTTTGATATTTTTAAATTTGGACCTCGGATTCGAATTCAACGCACCAAAATCCTTCGGAAAAGTACCTACATTCTAGTTTCTACGTTAGAGGGTCCGCCAAATTTCGTCAACATATGAACATAACAGTTTCTTTTTACATGCATAGGCGTGGTTTCAGCAATAGATTGGTACTTTTCGCTTGCAATTTTTTCTTTTCTTTGCTAAAAATGTCATGACATCAAATTCTTTTTGAAATAATAATCAAGTCATCCATGCATTAAATAAAACATTATTTAATGGTTCCTCTCAAGTCTTTTGCAATTTAACTTGATAAAAACCATATCTTTTCATTAATTTGTGACGTTACCATTGCAGTTTGGCCAAATATATTAGTTACATTGTGTATACTCAATAATGTCTGATCACCAACACAGCACCTACCTTAAACTTGGGAATAAATGATTGCAATGTGTTGTCGATCATAGTTAATCTACAGTAAGATAAGACTGTGTCGATTTTAACAGAACTTTGTTCGGCACATTCTAACAGTGTTGAGACTGGATATCCAGTTATTCCAACGAATCTAGCTTTACCTGACTTGACTATTTCTTCTACTGTTGGCAATGTTTCCGTTAAAATAGTTTCCACTGTAGGAGCAAACTCGATATCATGTACCTATAAAAGTAAATAGTAGGTATACCTACATTTTCTAACATTTGTTTAATGAATTAAAAAACTCGTTTCTTACTTGCAAAATATCAACATAATCTAAACCAAGTCTTTTCAACGAATCATCTATACTTTTTTTTGTTTTTGAAGCTGAAAAATCGAACATCAATTTCGGATCTTTCTCGTAGCGACATACTTTTGTGGCGAGATAATATGCTTTTCTAGGTATACCCTCGAGACACTGAAACATATTTTGTTGTAAAAATGTTGCCTTATTTACTATTTATCTATTTTATACTTTTCCCAGAATCTCTTCAGAAACGCCATGGCCATACCATGGGGCAGTGTCTATTAGATTTATACCTCTTTTGACAGCCTGATGAACAGTCTTTTTACATTCATCGACATCGAAATCACTAAAAAATATGATTTTTTTTTATATTTTGATAGGGACGTGCACCTCTACTAATTTAAAAAGAGAATACAATCAGAGGGAAAATTTAAACATATCCGCTTAGATTTTAACAGAATTAAATTTGCAACATGAGACTGGTATCGGCTGAATTGCATTGCAATATAGTTTTTGATCAATTAGTCGAGTACCATTATTTTTTTTTTGTTCAAAAGTTTATCCCAAACGTAGAGATAATCTTTTACAACTATATCTTGTTCTGAAGCTCCAATTTATGGTGCAAGAATTACCTATTTTTCAATATATTCTATTTGCCACTGAATGAATTTATTACTAATGTCAATGCTTTAGGTAAACTTCTCTATATACAAAATGCTTCCTTTAAAATATACAGTGAGTTAAAATGGAATTTTCAAAATAGTTTTTTTCTTAATAATTTCGATGATCTTCGAGATATTAACAAATTTGAGACGGATGTTTTCTTTACGATTATTTTACATCTAGAATTTTTTTCGTTTTATTTTAAAGTTTTCGAATTTTAAAATATACAAACGGACTATGGGAGACTTTATGATGTGCACCGATTTTAAGAACGTAAAAATATTGTCAATAAAAAATACAAAATTTACCTATATATTTTTTGACAAATTACAAAAGACATTTTAAACGAAATTTTAATAGTCTCAAACTGATTCTCAACAAATTATTATAATTTAAATTAAATAAATACTTCAACAATATTGAATAAGATCATATATTAATAACAAAAGTAACTCCTGATTCATTGACGCATATGACAACATTATTTATTAAAAAAAAATCTTAACGTATTGAGAGACAACTTTCCACCGAAGTTCGTTAGCCGCCATGAGTATTATGTCTCTTGGAAGAGATAAAGAGAAACCGCAATCTAACTGGATCGACGTATTATTGCAAAAGGCAACATAAATTCTTAAATAATAAATTATTTTAAATCTCTGTATCGGACGAAGACAAATCACTGCAGTGGCCACCATGATCTACCGATTATAATCCAATGAATTTCTTTTTCTGAAGTAGTTAGTAGTAAATATTATTTATGTTTAGAAATTAATAATATTGAACAACAATCTTCTTTGTCCGCTGATTGATTGAAATTTCAAATTTGAAAGTAAAGCAGAGCCGTCTCTTGCTTTGTACAAAACATGTTTCCAAAATCTTCGTGAACGTTTATAATCTTCCACTATATTACATAATAGATCGGGAGATATTAGACTGAACTTCGACGACGTCTTTCTCGTTTATGCCTCTGAGAGTATTGACAGGTAACCGAGAGATAAGTACAATAAACTAAATTTAAAAGATGGACTGCGGGACACCTTTGTGAAAATTCAATTTTCCTTTTCAAAAAAATAATGTGTACAGCGACGTATTTCTCACTTATGCCATGTTCGTAAGTTGAAGAGAAGTATCGATTTTATCACAAAATTTTTTTGGCATAAGTGTCGCAAGGGACCTAAAAATGGAAAACTTTGTAAGAAAATGTGGAAAAACATCTTTATTTGTCTACCAATTTCTCATTAATGCCAATTAGAAATATGACATTATTATATTCGAAAAGCTCATAAAAAACATTGGCATAAGTCCTACTAAGGACTAAAGAAAATAGAGCTTTGGAAAAGCTGCGGAAAATTTTTATTTTCATTCTATAACTTTCTCATTTATGCCGTTGAAAATTTATGATACTTACTATAAATAATGTACTGTGTCAAGTAGGCATCACTCCTCTATGGGTTCAATATGAAGGCATAAGTCTCAAAGTTGTAGGAAAATTCATGAAAATTTTTACGTCTTTCTCGCTTATGCCATTTTGCATGCACGTAGGAAACTACATTATAAAGTCATATAAATGTAGGCATAAGTCCACATTGGATTTTCATGTTGTAAATTAATTTGAATTTTAATATGAGTCAGGTCGACAAAGTAGAAAAATTATAGAAAATTGCCACAATTTTCTCGTTTATGCCGTTTTGTACACGAGTAGAAAATATTATTAAAAGCCACTTTCAAGAGTGGCATGAATGCCACAAGGTACCGTCGTATGTAAAATTTTTTAAAAAGTTGTCAAAAATTACAAATTGCGGTTATTTCCTCGCCTGCGCAATTTTCGATATACTTAAATTAATTTAAAAAATGTATGATAAATAATGCAAGTGTCGGAGAAGATATCTATATAAAAAATGAATATTTCTAACTATAAAAGGGAATAAAAAATTTAAAATAAAAAAAATTTCATGAAAAAGAGAAAGCTTTATATTGGGTTTAGTTTGATTTTTCGACATGTTATTTTTTATTACGATAATTCTTAATAACTTATAATAAAGCTGGTAGTAAGGCCTTTATTTTGATCCGTTTTCATCAAGAGCTGCAGATAAAACTGTTTGAAATTTGAAAATGTAAAAAATCATAAAACCGAAAAAACTTTTTATTTTTGATATGCTTTAATTTTAAGTTAATAAAAATTTGTATTATTTTAAGTGTTATTGTTTGTGTTAGTTATAATTAAAAATTAGTAATTCAAAGTCTTTGAGGAAGCATTCTGACAATTGAGTTGGCAGCGGTTTTTCAATTCAATTACTATTACTTAAATAAATCTTTTAATATAAAAATAAAATGTATAAAAGTACAAATTAAGTAATTAAGGTACAAAGTACCAGAAACAAAAAACAAAATTCAATATACATGATATTAAATCAGTTATAAATCAGTTTCTTCCCTATGTATTCTAGCTTAATTATTTCTTCTTCTTCTTCTTCTTCTTCTACCTTAGTCGGCTCAATTCAAGTAGATCATCCTTGCACTGAAGCGGTTAATTCAAATTATATAATATTTTTAATTTTTAAAATTTAAATATATTGTTCATAAATACGTATGGTCTATTGTGATAAAATACTCTACTCATTTACGAACAAACGAGAAATTTGTGGCAATATTATATAATTTTTCTTTTTCTGATCATGACTCAAAGAATAATTAAAAATCATTTCTAATATGTGGGGACTTAAGCCGAAATAGTTTATTATTAACTTTCATTAAATACATGAATTACTTATATTTATAAAAATTAAAAATACGCTAAATGCAAGTAAGTATAAGTATTTCGAAAATTGCGTAGGCGATGAAATAAACTTTTTAAAAATTTTTACATACGACGGTACCTTGTGGCATTCATGCCACTCTTGAAAATGGCTTTTAGTAATATTTTCTACTCGTGTACGAAACGGCATAAACGAGAAAATTGTGGCAATTTTCTATTATTTTTCTACTTTGTCGACCTGACTCGTATTAAAATTCAAATTAATTTACAACATGAAAATCCAATGTGGACTTATGCCTACATTTATATGACTTTATAATGTAGTTTCCTACGTGCATGCAAAATGGCATAAGCGAGAAAGACGTAAAAATTTTCATGAATTTTCCTACAACTTTTCAAAAAATTTTTAGCATATAGTCCTCACCAGGGACTTATGCCCTTTAAAAAAAATGAATACTTTCATTTTTTTCTTTGCAATAAGCTTTAATTTATTCACGAGAAAAACGTTGACCAAAACGAAAAATTTTCCGCAGCTTTTCCAAAGCCCTATTTTCTTTAGTCCTTAGTAGGACTTATGCCAATGTTTTTTATGAGCTTTTCGAATATAATAATGTCATATTTCTAATTGGCATTAATGAGAAATTGGTAGACAAATAAAGATGTTTTTCCACATTTTCTTACAAAGTTTTCCATTTTTAGGTCTCTTGCGACACTTATGCCAAAAAAATTTCGTGATAAAATCGATACTTCTCTTCAACTTACGAACATGGCATAAGTGAGAAATACGTCGCTGTACACATTATTTTTTTGAAAAGGAAAATTGAATTTTCACGAAGGTGTCCCGCAGCCCATCTTTTAAATTTAGTTTATTGTACTTGTCTCTCGGTGCACGTCATAAAGCGGCTGGTAGCGCTTATGTACAGAGAGATAAAATAATCACAAAAGAACTGTGTACATGAAAATTCAATAGACAAGCTACAAAGTTTTTCATTTTCAAAGTGCACAAACCTCCATAAACTGCAATAGAATAAATAACATACCAATCAAATTTGAAATTAATATCTCGAAAATCATGGAATATAGGTACCTAGAAAAAACCATTTTGAAAATTCTATTTTAACGACCCATATCTTTTAAAGGAAACATTTTCTTTAGGTAAGCTTATCTAAATCATCTTATTTTGATCCCAAGAATTTGTAGTTGCCGGATTAGCCTTCTTTTTTACGGCACCCTGTAATACTTAAATGACTGTATCATGCAATGGCGACAGTCCATATGATAGGACTATACGCTAAGTACATAAATAGTACAGTCCGTACAATATTTGTTGAGATAGAATTTCAAAAAAATAATAAGTTAATAAAGTTCTGTTAACGGAACTACTGTAACAATTTACTCTTCGACTGAGAATTAAATTCCTTTCTTTTTTTACTTTCATTGATTTATTTTAATAAGAAATTACACTGAAAATTCACAGAACGATACATCTTCGAAGAAACACGCTTTTGTAACTGCACATTTATTGAATTTTATTTTTCTAAGAAACTAAACAGTGAAACTATTACTTACCCATAAAAATAAGAAAATCCTCCGGTTCCTAAAGATAATTCTGACACTTTAAGTCCGGTTTTCCCCAAATCATTATATTTTAATTTTCTAACTTCATTTTCATCATGAAATCCTGGTATAAATGTATCTGGCAGGGCCATATTTATTTTTAATCTACTAAAAACTTAATAAAAATGAATACTGACATTCGTATTTAAAATAAATTGTGTAAATACATATGCGCGATATGAAAATATAACAATTTTTATCTAAGTCAGATAATAAATAATTTCAAATTTTAGCAGCTTAAATTATCATATGTATTGTATAATTCAAAAAAGGTGGTTTTTGCATTATTACATTATTATAAACAAAAACCGTAATCCATATTTTTAATTGGATTGGAACTCAATTTATATTCTTTTATATTTGTTTCAATACTAAAATGCCCAGTGTCCCTATTTAATTTTTTGTTTATTAAATAATTATTATTGTTAATACACTTACATAGGACCAAAGTTTTTGTTATTTTATTTATATATTTAGGTACGTTGTCAGTGGCGTTTAAAAAAGTTTGGGTAAAACTCATAGTGTAATTTTTTTAATATGTGAAATTTTATATAGGTACACCTTTTATGTCACAAAGATTGATTTTATTAAAAAAACCAATTGTGTACGTTACACTTCTAACAACTAATTTTCCGCGATGTCGGTATATTATCAATATTTATTCTTATTTGATATTACAATGTGCGCCACTGCCTCTAAAAATTAAAGTTTAAATAAACATGTTCAATTACCTGTAGTTAAAAATAAAGGTATGTATTTTTTTAACATACATATACTGAACTATACTTTATATTCACTATGTCCTCACTTCGCTCATTAACAAAGATTATAAATACTTACGTGGTCTAAAACATATGTAAACAGTGTAAGTAAACAATCAGAATTTAGCTGCTGAATTATCTATAAGCGTTGAGTGAATGTTATTCACACAACGCTATAAGATAATATTCTGTGGAACAGAATCTGTGCTATAAGTACCCACATGCGACTATATCGGTCAGAAATAGCGGCTAGAGACAATCAGTCCACTTTAATTCGAAGCTCCCCGTATGCGCGCTTCTCTTAATCCATTATAAGATTATTTAAAATGATAAGTTAGGTCAAGTTAAGTTTTTTATGTAAAACTTACAACTAAAACGTTAAATTTGTTTGTTCCGGATAGCAAGTTAGTAGGTACTATATTCGTGCCACGAAAGCTATACAGGGTGTCAGCAAATTTCACGACAACGCTTGACTGTATATTCACGGCGATAAATAAATAGGATCTACGAAAAAAAAGTTAAATAAAAACTTTTTGGTTTTTGAGTTATAGGCCTTCAAAGTTTTCAAAAATAAAATTAATTTAATAAATAATTTCATTACCCTTTTACGTATCGCGTTAAAATTTGGAACATTTATTTACCGCTAAAGCGGATTTTACCTAGAACTCAAAATATGTTCTGTTCATGACAACTTGTTTCTCTTGCTAGATATCACAGACATTTAAACATTATTGAAAAGAGAAACAATATCAGAATAAAATAGAAAAAATCTTTATTCAAGCCGATAAATGTAACCGTTTAGCAGGAAATCACTATTAACATTTTATTAAACATCAAATTTTTGATAATAATATTTTATTTACTAACGAAGCTGGTTTTATGAGAGATGGTATTACAAATTATCATAATGTTCATAATAGTTGAAAACAGATGTTAACTAACAAAGTATAACAGATTTTCAATTCCATTTTATCATAATATTCACTACAGCAATACATTTTCTGATACGTTTTAAAAATGACACAATTAAAAACACCGATATTGTTTCACGTATCAGAAAATTTAGTGAAGTGAAAGGAGGTCACTATGAACATTTGTTATGATAAAATAGGATGGAAAAATACTTTGTTAGTTAACATTTGTTTTCTATTATTATTATGACTGTTATGAGCGTTATGATAATTCGTTTTTTTGACCATCTCTCGTAATAGTATATTACGTAATAAGTGTTGTAAAAAGCATTTTACGCACGAATGGAAAAGTTACGCACGACGCCGCGTAGCGGCGAATGCCTAATTCTATGAGTGCGTAATTACATTACACCACATATTACGTACTATACTTTACCTACGACCACTACTGTAAATACTTAAAAACACACCGTCTGCAATCAATGTAAGATTCCTGTACGGTAAAAGAATCGCACAACTTGGTAAAAAGTCGTAGTTTTCCTAGCGACCGCCTAGCAACGTTCAATACAAACAGTATTGTATTGACTGTTGCTAGGCGGTTGCTAGGAAAACTGCGATTTTTTTACCGTACGTAATAGAAATCTTACATTGATCGCAGACGGTGTGTTTTTAAGTATTTACAGTAGTGATCGTAGGTAAAACCAGTTTCGTTAATAAATAAAATATTATTAGTAAATTCATTATCCTCATCTTATTTTTCCACAATACTGTTACAGAGCCGAAAACTTGATTAATTACAGAAAAAATTATCAAAAATTTGGTGTTTAATAAAACTTTAATAGCGAATTCCTACTAAACGGTTATATTTATCGGCTTGAATAAAGTACATATTTTTTCTGATTTTGTTTCTCTTTTCAATAATGTTCAAGTTTATGTGATGTCTAGCAAGGGAAAAAGTTATGAACAAAAAAAATTTTGATTTCTAGGTAAAGTGCCCTCTAGCGGCGCATAATGAAAGTTTTCTCTGACTATACTCCGCGTCGAAATTATAGAGAGTGACTAATCGGTAGCTTTTGGACTAGTAAGGGGGATGAAGCGTGCCGGGAACGAAAATCCATTGGCGTGTCTGCGTAAAAGGCAACAAGATATAGAAAATATTGAAAAAAGAATATAAAACATAACATCTAATATTTTTTACGGTTATTTTAAAACGTCCCAGTTGTGTTTTTTTAATTTATAAATTTATTATAGCCATGGAATTAGACACCTCGTCTACGCTTATGCCATGACGTTTCTCAGGACTGGTAAATCAAGTCCATTTACACCCAACTAAAAAAGCATTTCCCTATTCCCTAACAAGTGCAAAAGACAGAGATAGAATATAGATCGACGTTCAGTGTAACTCAGTCTATAGACGATTATAGATTCTATCGATGTGCGTATTATGTCTGAATCACTCTCTATAATTTCGACCGCGGAGTATAGTCCAATAAAGCTTGATCTACTTAGTGATTGTGTCAAATGGGAGACTAATCAAACTTAAATTAAATAAGTTATTTAAAAAGAAAAATAAAAAAAAATTGAACTTTGACAAGCTGTAACTTGTGACCATTGACAATTCGAAAAAAAATTTCATTACATACTGCTATTAATTTAATCCCAAGAATCACCTCCTGGAGTTTCCTGACGTCCGTCAGAACACACTGTATATAAACAGACAATTTAAATAAAACATGAAATTTCCACGATTACATAACATGGTCTGAACCGCGATTAAAAAGTCAGTTTAGTGTGTATAATCTAAAAGTGAACGCAATCTTAAATATTGTGTCAAAATAAATATTTTGTTTGAACAAGCATTGCCTCTTTTGCGCCAAAAAATTTATAATGTGAACATGTTTAGGCTGCAACAGATATGGAAATATAATTATCAGAAAAACGGACAAAAAATTATTGCATTTCCATGCCAATTCGTCAGTGTTGTTCCTTAGTGACGTCACGGCATTACGAAAAATACCTAATTAATGAAAATTGAAAACGATTCTATTGAAATCAAAAAGAAATGCGCATGCCTTGAAGCAAAGTGGATGCTTTGCCTCTAGCCATTAATTCATACTTCATATTAACTTTTTACTAATCTCTATATTGTGCAACTTATACCGATGTAAACAGTCTTCAGTTATGTATGTATAAACAAGCACTGACCAAGGTCTCTAAAGTAGAAAGTTCCTCAAGCTGCTGATTTCCTTTACTCCACTTCCGTCTCAAACAGATAAGTGACGTCGTTGGTATTATGAATTGAATAGCATCAAAGTTAATCAATTAGCTCATAAAGGACCCTGCACATTTTATATGGAAAACGGTCTTCCGGTGAAATTAGCTAAAAATTTGGAAAATTGTTCGTTTTGTACCCCTGATCAAAAGTGTCAATGGGGTCGAAGCTCAAAATGCCCATCTTTAGGCTCTACGGCAATTTTTAGTGGCCAAAAACGGCAAAAATTCATTTTTTTAATATTATGTTTAATGCTTGTACAGTCCCTTAAGTTTTCATTAAATTGTATGCGTGTGAGTATTTTATGTAGGAATATGTGTGTATATGTATTTGTGTGAGAGGGTTTTTGAATGCACAATTATACAAGATTTAATACACTCCGTCTCAATATTATTTTGTGGTTTTAATAACCTTCAATGAACTCGGAACTCTCATGCATTTTTTCAAAGAGTTCCCAAGAGTTGCCAAAGAGTTGCCAAAGATTTTCCAAGAGTTCGCAGTTCATAACTGAAGCGGATTTCTAGAAAGAATGTAAATAAAACGAAAGAGAAGACGCGCTGAATTAATTTTTGCCGTTTTTGGCCACTAAAAATTGCCGTAGAGCCTAAAGATGGGCATTTTGAGCTTCGATCCCATTGACACTTTTGATCAGGGGTACAAAACGAACAATTTCCTAAATTTTTAGCAAATTTCACCGGAAGACCGTTTTCCATATAAAATGTGCGGGGTCCTTTTGCTGTGTTTAGGGTTGCCAGATTTCCGGGTTTGACCCGGAGTCTTCGGGTTTTCATGGTACATACATCTTCGGGCACCGGGTTAACATGTCATTTCTCCGGGTGTCCTGGAAAATCGTGGATTTCTTCTCCACATTTCCCGATTCCGTCCAATTATTATCTGCTCCAGGTGTGTCACGAAAGAAAGAAGTAGATATTTCCTGAGTACGTCCTTTTTTTTTGTCCGTCATGAAATAGATCTGGTAACCCTAGCTGTGCTTATATGTAGATCATCATAGGATCAATCCTAAGCAGCTTTTAACAGACAGACGCGCATAATGCGTACACATTATGATCAAAATTCATTGTTTTGATTTTGAAACAAATGCGATCGCGTCGGACTGAAAGTGTTGCTCATGCATTTTTGTTTCTGTTTATTTATTTTCTTATTGAATTAGTACACCATAAAGAGCAATAACTTTATTACATAGAACAAGTAATGTTATGGGTTTTATCAGACATGTATACACTCTTACACTCCGTCTCTCTTCCAGTCTGTACAACTACTGACTCCGCGACCGCGCAGCCACTCGAGCCTCATCGAGCTCACCCCCTCCCCACGGCACGGGCGCACCGCCACTATTCAAATGCCAAACAATTTAACCAACATACCGCCGGCCTTGAAAGCCCGCCTTTCAATACATTAACATAACCTAAATATACAATACATATTATTCTTATAACTAATAGGTTACAAACCAAATAGTAAACTCTTAAATGAACAATGTTGCAGTATTAATTTTTTTGATCCCTTTCAGTTTCTACCGGTAAAAGGCACACTCGCGTAATTGCCCGTCTAAACACGCCCGCACCTGTCTTTACCGACACAACTCTAGTTATTTGGTCGCTACCAGGGTGTAGTTCTGTAATCCTTCCCAATCTCCAGTACAACGGAGGTGTGTTGTCCTCTACCAATAGCACTAGAGAACCAACCTTGATCGAAGTGTCTTGTGGAAATTGCCATTTATGTCTGGATTGTAGTTGAGACAGATAGTCTCGTGACCACCTTCTCCAAAAGTGTTGAGTCATTTGTGTTAGTAGTCTGAACCTTGTTAATCTTCCGGCAACTTCCCTAGTTAAGTCTTCTTGAGGCAATGCAATTAATGGAGTCCCCACCAAGAAGTGTCCAGGGGTTAATGCGTTAAGATCGGAAGGATCATCTGAGAGGGGATGCATGGGTCGGGAATTTAAGCAAGCTTCAATTTGTGACATGACAGTGCTCAATTCCTCAAAGGTTAAAACAGTTTCACCCACAACCCGTTTAACGTAATATTTAGCCGATTTAACTGCTGCCTCATAGAGACCACCAAAATGCGGAGANTACGTTCAATCCTCATGAAATTCGAACAAGATCTTTTCAAGACGAATTTTCTGTGAAAGTGTGGCTCGGAATAATTCGCAATAAAGTTTGTGGACCTTTCTTCTTGCTACCATCAAAATTCCCAATAATTTATAAACTCTCTAGAAAACCATCTATTTGAATTATTACTTTCAAGCATAAACATAAATATTCTTGTAATATTATGGTTTGAAATGTCTGCCACAAGGGAACTGTATTGGTATGAATAACTTGAGAACGGCGAATCTTAGGGAAAAAATTCAAGTTACCTTTTTTACGTATTTAGTGCATTAGAATATAAATCCGTTAACAATATGTTGTAAAAAATACAGTGGCGTAGGTTTTTTTATGAAGAGGGCGACCCCTGTCCAGTTGTACACCACTGGTTGAACCTCTAGAGCTCGCATTTGAGGGAATGCAAGGCCTACTATCATAGATTATCTGTACCAGATAGATCGGTTAATAGATTCCGGAGATATAAACAAAAAATCTATTTTTTTTAACAACTTCAACACCCTGTATCTCTAAAACGAGGCCGTTCTAGACCTATGTTTATAAGGCAAACACCTATTATTTTAAAGAGATCTATCTGCCCTCGAAGTTTCCTGCATAAAATTCGGACCACCCTGTATATCCTACATAATATTCAGACATTCCCAGACTGTCCCGAGGATAGCATATAGTCCAAACCGTATTTCTCTGGGTCATACGGTGAGATATCCTGTTTTGTAACATAAAACATCCCTGGATGTCTTAGATGACCTGAAGATAACCTATGTCTGCTATATATTCAGACATTCTCAAGCTGTCCTGATGATAGCGTATAGCCCGAATCATGTCTCTGGTACATACAGTGGGATATCTGGAGTATTTCTTCTTATTTGTAACATAAGAACGTCCTATGGCTAGATAGGTATAGTTGAAACTGTACATCCCTGGTTTTAAGGTAGGTATATCGGTATATATCATCAGATGTTCTGAAAATATCATTAGGACGGGTTTGTGCTATTTGAGACTTTGAGGAACAATGAAAACAATTCCTAATAATTATAGCACCTAATTATTTATGCACATTAAAACTTATATTCCTTATATTCTTCAAATCAATAAAACAGTAAAAGTAACAAATGCATTTGAAGGATACAGGGGAAAAACCAAAAAAGTCCATTTTTCGCGATTCTATGATTATCGTGCCATTTTTTAGGTAATGGCGAAACCTTTAAACCTATGGTGTAAAACTAACAGGGGAAGAACTAAATCAGTCGCTTGAATTTTACGTTAGAAAACTAGCCGTTCAGGGGAAAATCCAAAAAAGTCCAGTCATTCGTACCTTGCGACGCGACGGTGTTAGTTACTAACATTCATCGTCAATTTCTTTCATCCTATACTTCATTAGTATAAATAATAAACAATTGGTACCTACGTTAGTTAGTTAAATAGTGAAGATGGGTGATACACCTGAAGATAAAATTGATGTTTGAGAAACAAACCAGAAAACGACAAAGGCATGGACGATTCAAGATCTTAAGAAGTTTTGTCGTGAAGACGCACGAGCTTATTTTTCACAATTACCACATGACTAGCTTTTTTTAAGTTTGTATTTTATTTGACTATTGACAAATATATATTTGCTTTGCACCTCTTCAGTAACATTATTTCTTATTTTGTTTTACTGATTATATTGACCATAAAGGGGAAGAATGAAAGAAGTCCATGGAGCTTTCTGCTTTTTCTACTGGTTTTTTGGTAGTGCGACAATGTAAACCATATTTTTGGTTAAATTCGCACACAAAATAAGTACATATATCAAACCACCTATTCTTTTTTTGACACATCGTCTGTCAGTCACTCAAATACAACTTTATGATTGTTATTTTGTAGACACAATATAACGTTATTAAGTTTAAAATTGCTCTCCTGTAAAAATTATAAAATGTGACTATTTTGGTTTTTCCCCTGTACCCTTCATTTGAAACCATTCCGGGAGACTTTATTCTATTTTTTTTATAATTTTTAATTATGACAACCTAAGTAATACATATAATGGCCAAATGAATGAAATGACAGAAATATATTATTTACAACAAAAACAAAAGATATTAGCATTCTTTTGTCACAACTTCTATTATAAAGGAAGACTGTAAATCAGTGTCCCTTTTTAATTAATTATAACCAATTTTTTAACTTACTTTTATTGTGGTTAATTGGCAAATGAAATGCACAGTATAAACATGACACGGGTATTACTTGGGGACCCGTATTTTTTCTTTTTGCCAACTGGCCCCCTCTTTCGGAGGTATAGCCCCCTGAAATCCGCCTCTACGGATAGTCCTTTTTATATCTCAAAACCCTGTTGTACGAGAATCAGTAAATTTGGTACACAGGGGTTTTATGACATGTGGAATCTCGCAGTGCTACGCTTTTTGGGGAGAAACCCCCTTAACACTTTTTCGTGGGCCCCCTTGTCTTTGGAACCAGAAAAATTTGGTCGCAAATTTGATTTTTTTTTAATTATTAGTTAGCTAGAAAGCCATTGAATTTAGAAACTTTTTTGTCTCTTGATATTTGTTTCGTAAAACGCAATGTTTTTGAGGAAAATGGCAAATCACGATGTGCATTCGATCACATTTTGACATTTTTCTCGAAAACATTACGTTTTACGAAAAAACTATAGAGACAAAAAGTTTCTAAATTTATTGGCTTTCTAGTGAACTGATAATTTTTAAGAAATTTAAAAGGGGGCCCAAAATTGTCTTAAGGGGGTTCCCCGACAAAAAACGTAGCACCATCAGATTCCACATGTCATAAAACCCCTGTGTACCAAATTTAGTGATTCTCGTACAACAGGGTTCTGAGATATAAAAAAAAGATCATCCTTAGGGGCAGACTTCAGGGGGCTGTAACTCTGAAAGAGGGGCAAAAATAAAAAATACGGGTTCCCCAAATTTGTCTTAAAAATCTATTACCAAATTTTGTTGCATGAATTTCGGGACACCCTGTACATTGGACTTTTTTGCCACAGGTACGTTTGTCCTAAAAGAAAGGTGAATTATTATGTGATTTTGGCAAGTTTTTTTACTTTAACGCATTCCTTACAGTACAAGTCACTTTTCAATATTACCAGTCAATCGCAATTGTGTACAAAATTACATGATTATTTTTAATAGCTTATACACCTTGACGTCATTTAAGAAATACTGCACTTGACAGGTTTTGTTGAAACTGTGCATGTTATATTTTGAAGGTGCAACAGTGAAATATGTATTGAATTATTTTAAAAATATATATATCAAACATTTTCCCGTGCGATTTTGTAGTAAACATGTTTTTAACAAATTTAACATAATTAAAACAGTCAGAATGTTTGGGAAAAAAGAATTTAATAGAAACCAGTCTTAATGACAAAAAAATGAATAAAAAATGGGATAGTTTTTATTACATTTATTAACAAATCCATTGTGAAACAAATAACACAACATTTAAAAATAACTTTTGTATTAAATGTAACTGAATATTTTAACTCTTAACGGCATTTGCAACATATTCAGCAGCCCTCTGTTTTACTGCCTCCACTGAATCTGGAGTTCCGTGTTGTTCTTCGAACATCCTAAATTTCAAGAAGAGTGTTTTCATATTCTTCAATGGTAGCCTCTGACAAATAGACCTCTCCAAGACTTTCCTAAAAATAACATTAGGGCGAAAGGTTTAGAAAATCTGAATTCTAAAATAATGCTCTGGTACAGCAAAGACAAAAAGATTAGTAAAACATTTTTGGTAAAAAATTGGATTGAAACCTCACCTAGCTTGCTCAATTCTATCTTTTTTGACAAGCTGATCCACATAAATTATCCAAACATTAACTTTCTTTGGATCTGAACTGAGAATTGTTTCAAAAATTGCAGCTCCTTGCTGTTCCTCTCCATATTTAAATTCCATAATAGCAAAACGAATAATTAAATTTAATTCTGCAATATTAAAAATATATGAAAACAATACTATTAGTATTTTTCCCATTAATAACTTACGTGTTTTTCTGTCTTTTATAGATTTTAACGCTGCTTCTTTAATATTTCTAGCCTCTTTAAATTTTTTTATCGAATAGTAAGTTTTTGCTACTGCTAGCCACATAATTGGATCCTGCTTGTATTTATTTTTAACTTTTCTAATTTTTTCTTCCATGTCAATGAATTTTTCACTTTCAGAAAGCATTTTGATAACATTTAGATATATATCTAAAGCATCGTTATATTTGACTGCTTCGTCAAAGGTTTTATCAAAGGATTCCTAAAAAAAAGAATTAGCCTGTGTTTATAAAATATGACACCACACTAGAATAGGGGGTAGGATGTGTCATTTTAAGCATAAAATTTCATGAACATTCAAAATTGCTCAGAAGAAAAGCTACAAAATGATATATTTCATATTTTTTAAAATAGAAAAAAATGTTAAATACAAAAGTTGATGAATTTCCTTTAGCATCAGAATGTTGTATTAGACGTTAAACAAATAGACTTTTTTTAAATAGAATAATCTTTTTACACAGATTAGATAGAACACATTTTTATGATTATAGTATTAAAGTTCGATAACTATATTTCTAATAGTAAGGCAGACATGACCAAATGAATTTGCCAAATCGAAATTCATTCTTTGATCATATCTTCTTTACTATAAGAGATAAACACGAGGATAAACACATCAAATCTTGTATCGCTGTAATCAGAAGGTTTTGTATTTAAATATACAAAAATATACAGGGGTTATATTAAAAATATTATACTAATTAATTTATAATTACTTAAAATATTTCCAACAACTTAATGATTTATTTTCAATTTTTTTTTTATTTTCATAATTAGTGTGCAATACTTTAGCAGTAGATTCTACGATCAACAATTAGATTATTTTTTCCTATAAACATGGATCGAAAAATGCTTCCTAAGGAAGCTACGCCCCCCTAAAAGGGGCCTCAGGAGATATTGTTCAAAATATTTCCAAAACCAGTTAACATATCATTATGAATTTTGGTATGTTGGACACTCAATGAATGTTCTAATGAACTGCACGAAAACTGTTTAAAAATTTTAGTCAGGCAGGGGGGCTCACGGGTAAAATGCGCCCCCAATTTTTTGCAAGTCAATATTTCCAAATTTAAACATCAAACTATGATATGTGTTTTTGTATTTGCTATTTTTGTCTGCTTTTTTTAGCATGAGATTTTTTGGCGAGACAAAACTATTTTCATAACAATAACCCTTGACTGATCCATTTGGCGCAAGGCTTTATTAACTAATTTTTTTTTTATTTTTTCACAGGTGGCAAAATACCCAATAAAGAAAAAATATTTGCCTTAACTATGCGATTTTTCACTAATGGCATCTACAGGTAACCCAAGTTCATTTGAGCCGTAAATTAGGATGCTCAGTAGTGTAGTAACACAGAATAGATTTGTCTGTACTCGATGGTAGTATATAAGGTACCTACTAGAGTAGGGAATGGAGAACTTGCTGCCTAAATTCCCATCTCATTCTATATCAAGTGCACACTCTCACACTCACTTGATTTGTGCATTTCAGGGATCAAGTGAAATTTGTCCATTGTATTTAAATAAATTTAGATGATTATAATGTCCATACTGTAATCTCTTTAGCATACGTATGTATGCTAATCATTTGGAATAATAGAAAATAGGTATAATATGTACCTACATTCAGTGGCAGTTTTACCATGAGAGCTGCAGAGCTGCAGAACACATAAAATTTTATGTATTTGATCATATTAAATATCAACAAAATATTTAAAGAATTCAAATGTTCTCGCGCTAAATAAATCTATAAAAAAATAGCTTATATTATTATTTATTACGACGCGAGCTACGCCCCTCAATATATGCAGCCTGATATACAAAATGTGTGCACAGCGAACAGTTAGATGCTAATCAAGCGCGTGACCCAGTACACGAATATATGGACTTATGTGGCTGCAACGACAGCCACTGCTACAATAAATGCAGTAATATTTCGTACATGGTATGTGGTGGTTTGTTTCTGCGAGCGGCATTTTCGTTTAGGCATCTAGGGATATTATAGTAATTAAAATGAAGTGTTTCGTTTTTACAAAAAACTTTATTTGGTTCTCTGCCTTATGAGGATAAACTAAAAATAAAATAATTAGGTATACCAACACCACAATTAAATATTGAAGTTAGTGGAACAAGCCGAAAATTAAAATTTGTTGAATCATTGGTAAACTTCACAAACAATTTTTTTGTTTATAAACAATATTCAATATTTTAATAAAATATATTTAGTTTATTCCAATTTATTTATACCGTCAGTAAGTAATTCGTGAATAGATATTTCAAAAAGGTATCAATTTCAAAAATCGTTTTTGTGAAAGTCTGCATTTTTGTATAAATGGATTGTTCCTTGAAATTCAGAGGTACCAGAAAAATGACCTTGAAAATTATAAAAAATTTTGCCTGCGGCGCCATTTAGGGTCTCTCCGGGCACTTAATATCCTGGAATCGAATTCAACAAATATGACAACCCTAAGCAAAACACATGCAATCAATGTTCATGCGCCGCCACTGCCTACATTTTAGATGGAAGCAGCACTTTAGAAAAAAAGCATTTAATTTGGGATTTTTGAAAAATAAAGTTTGAAAAACTCTATCACATGACACATAGACTGATTTTTTATTTCAAACTTGTGTACACCACTGGGCTCTGCACTCCCTCAAATGGATTTATACCAAACATCATTAAAAATGTTAATTGCTAATTATAAAATTAATGATTTTATCAATTCTTCCTAAATGGAGTAAGGAATCTATATCTAATTAAAAAAATTAAATGGGCAAATAAAATGTTCACTAGCAGCTTACCCTTTTAAACGCTGTCACAAATTAAAATAATTTTCAATTTTAATGGATGAACGAATTAATAATGTCATGTCCACGGATAGACAAAAAAATTGTAGCCTCAATCTCAAATTTTTGGAAAATTGTATTAAACTTACGTTTTTCTATGCATTCGTTATATTGTTCTCAAATATTTTTCATTGCAACTGTTCTCTTAAACATTGAGAACTGCAAACTTCAAAAAATATCCTCCTTTTTTATACAGATACTACAAATAAGCATAAACACGGTCAGGACTGGACGAGCCCACAATTAAAAGATACAGGGTGTTTATTAAGTACTTGTACAAACATTAAAGGATGACTCTTTGACTAATTTTAAGATAAAAAGTTCATATGAACATGGGTCCGCAATGGCTTGGTTCTTGATAGAGTAAAAAAAAAATTGTTTGGTATTTTGATTCAGTAACATGGCAATTTGATGAAATTCAGGAAACTAAGAGTATTGATGACGAGAAATTCAAATATTTACTTAGTTTTTGTTTAATGTTAGAGGGATTCAGTGCAGTATTTAGATTAACATAACTTTATTAAAATTAAACCTGCATTGGAATTTTCTAAGTTGAATCTTTTTGAAAAACAAGAGAAAAATGTATCTTTTATTGATTGTATTGCGATGTGACAAACTTAGATCATTTCAAGAGTTTTCGATTTTGTTTAAATTGACATTTCCCATTTCTTTTTTTAGTTTGACATCATGTTAGAAACAAAATAATTAAAATTCTGGATAAAAATAATGCTAAATACAATTCTTCAAAAACTGGCAACTAAAAAAAAAATCGTAGCAGGTTTTGGATTTCTGATTTCTAATTTTACGGTTAATCCAAATATAGGGGTGCTAAGGGTTTATTTAATAAAAAATGTGAATGGTCTGTATAACTGAAAATCGGTACACCTGTATATTATTTAAAAGTATCAAAAAAATAGATTTGACATTCGATAATTTATTTCATGTAAATATTAAAACTTAATAAACCTATTTAATGATAGATATTTAGTCTGTAGATACTATCCTACCTTAGTTCCAAATAAATTTTCTAGATTGAGTAACGATATCCAAATATTAAATTTCTCTGTCACTGCAGTAATGTCGATAGTCTCTAAAGCTCTTTTAGCCACGGATCTAGCTTTATCAAGTTCTGTCGCCTGTACAAAAAATAAATTTTATTTTATAAATTCAATTTATGTGAAAGTTAATAAATACTTACAGCAATATGAAAAGTGATGTAACGTGCCCAAAGTTCAGAAGAATTGGGATTAGCCAATAGTAATCTTTCAAATTGTTCAGCAGTTTCTGGTGTTCTAGTAGGATCCGCCAGTTCCTTTTCAATTTTGAATAATCTTTCTTCTTCCTGACGAGCAAGTTCTGCTCTTTCTGCTGGCGTCATTTTCTTTTTCTTTTTAACTACTTCTACCTAACAATAGAAAAAATTGTAACTGATAAATTTTTATTATTACAATACCACACCTCTTCCTCCTCATCTGAGGATGTTTTATCGCCTTCTTCATTGTGAGGGTTAAAAAATGAAGAAACACCTGGTAGTACCGGAAGTGGTCCTGTTATTGAATCGCTACTGGCAAAACTTTTAACAATTTCATTGCCAAATTTAATATTTTTTACCATATTCGTTTCATCTCTTTTCCTCTTACTACCCTGCTTACTAGATACAGAACTTTCTTCTACTAATTCTTGGTCACTTTCACTACTTAAAACATATGTATTACTACTTTCATCATCATCTTCTTCTTCTTCCTTTTCTAAAATAACCTCACTCTCGGAAGAATCGCGTATAGAAATAACTTCAGCAATTCCATTTTTTTCTATACATTTTATGGTATTTTCAGTGCTGTTAATTGAATCTCGCAATTTTCCATTATTATTCAATGACTGCTTTTTAGTCTCCAATAATTTTTGTTTATCCAATGTTAAAAATAAATTTTTACTCGTACCAATTAAATAATCGCTAAATTTACTACAAATTAATAATGTTACATATCTATATTTCACAATAAAAATAAATTCTTACCCACAAATACAAATTTTAAGTTTATCTTTTTGATAGTAAGTATGGCATCCATTTCTGTCATTTTCATGCAAATATAAAGGTATATATATCATCTGTTTGTTACCACCACTTTGTTTTAAAAGACCTAGTACATGATCATTTTTCACTAATATATTTTCTATTATAGAGGAACCTAGTGATGAAATTGATATAATACCATCTAAAACATTAAACAGAACCATAATTTTCCACCATAACACGTTGACTGCGGTACATACCTCGGGGGATATGTACTCATTATAAAAAATATGCGAATCTCAATAATCACATTTTTACTGTATCTTGTGTAAGTTGCAGAATCTGTAGCTTTTAATTTTGTAGTTAGAAATAATGATTTTCTATTTTTTTCTTTTCAAAACTCTTTGCGAATGAAAACGTTAGTATCCTAGGATATATAGTTACAGATACATGCAAGTTTATAGCAATAATTGTGTTATTTTTAATTTTATAGAGGTCAAATGTAAAAAAAATTACATATCCCCAGGGATATGTACCGCACACAGAAGAAGTTTTGTTACATATACCCGAAGATATGTATCGCAGTCACGGACAAAGTACATTGAAATTATGTCGCAGTCAACGTGATAAATAGTAAATTTTTATACAAAAAAAATTAAATAAAAATTAAAATTTACCTTGAACGCTGTTTATTTTTTGTAACATATCTTTCCTGAGACATACTTCAACATAATTTTCTCTAAAATCTTGAGACAAGAACACACCTTCTAATGATTGACCTGGTTTTAAATTTTCTAAAAAAAAAACGAACAGTTACTATTATTTAACAAACGATACATTTTATTCTTATGAAATAAATGTATTTAAAATATATATATATATATTTTAAAAAAAAAGAAAAAGTTTATAAATGAGCGTATCATACTTCTTGAAAGAAAATAGACCAATTAGCTGTACTTTATTAACTTGGGTAATTATAGTTTAGTTAACACAATATCACTTATAGTCTTTCCGAAGACTGTTGAACATGTATAAAAAAACCGAGCAATTAAATTTAATGGGTTTCATAGGCGTCCCTAAAAAAGTTTTCTGCTAAAAATAAAAAATTATAATAATTTGTATATGTGTAGAAAATTTCTATTATATGTTCATTTAGCCAACAACATATTTTAATTATTTATGTCCTCAAACAATTTTATTATATTGATGGTAAATTTCGTTTTATTCCGTCTCAAAAGGTCTCCGAAATGCATATTGTAATATTATTTCTTCCTTTCGCAATTGTAATATAAATGATTAATAGAAGGTGCCTATAAAAAATTAAAATTACCTAAATCACAGCAAATTCCACATTGCTGTACTGCACTGCTAGGCAATTTATCCACCACTTGTCAAAAGCTGGGATTTACTGCCCAGTAGCCCAATACAGTTCGACCAGACCTGTATATGGGTATGGTTAAATAAATATGGGAACAAAATTTTCAAATATTTAAATGCCGAGTTGCTGCGTCAGCGACCGGACCTGGTACATACTGACTTAATTCTTCAATTGATATCGGAAAGACTATACTTAAAAATGTATGGAATTTTAAAGAATATTTTTATTTCACTTTTTAACGAAAACTGTATATGTTGTTTTACAGAATTATAGTTTAATGATATATGTATAGGCCAGCAAATGTTCTTTCACAGAATGATAGTTTTCATAGACGTTGACACTTGAAGATGGAAGTTTATTGAATACAAAAAACATTTAAAATACAGTGGATTTCAGTTTCAACAAACATTCAAAGAAAAGTGAAATTGTATTGCAACGGATAAAATGATATGCAAATTGATAATTATATACAGGAGGGATATTTATATAAAATTCTACCCCTTTATCTCTTCTGTTGGTAGAATCACAGTTTTAGGAAAATTTCTTGTGACTTCAAAGCGATACTTTTTTAATAACACATTTTTACATATTCAGAGAGAACACTTTCTCAGGATTACAGTTTCATAGCAAATTTCTAATTCTAACGGAGATCTGGTATGATTTCCTAAGAACTAATAACTTCTTTCTGACTCATTGAGTTTATAGCAAATTCTTGGGGATATATCGTTGCTATTAGATAGATCTATTGAACCTTATATCACTACAAACCTAGTTAAAAAGATAAGTTTGGTTTATATCTCCGAAATAAAAGCAGTAAACTACTAAACTTTTATTACATTGTCCAAGTGAAACATTGCTTGTGGTGTGTAAGCCATGGTAAAAAACAAACATACAGGCATAAACAAAGCAGTATGCCACAAAATAATGTTAGAATAATCTTGTATTTGGGTTTTGTATGTTTTATAAAAAAAAATGTAAAAATATTATATTTTAGGCTTAACGGGCCAGTCTGGCGATGGGCTACGTCCCACAGTCTTGGAGGTCAGACAAGGTGGTCATCATCCCCAAGGCTGGAAAAGAAGACTACACTGCGGCTAAGTCTTTTAGGCCTATTAGTCTCACATCCTTTCTGTTTCAAACGATGGAAAGGATTGTGGACAGGTATCTGGTGGATGGGGCGTTGAGCAGATACCCAATCCACACGAATCAGCACGCATATAGGCGGGGCAGGTCCACAGAGGCGGCCTTACATAGTGTCACACATAAAGTAGAGAAGGCCCTTCAGTACAAAGAGGTCGTACTGGCAATATTCTTTGATATAGAAGGTGCCTTCGACAAGGCAAAAACTGAGACCATATGCAACTCGTTCCAAGACCGGGGCACATCGCCTATCGTGGTCGAATGGATGAGGTCAACATTGAAGGAAGGGAAGGTTAGTGCAGCCATGGGGTACTGTCGTAGGGACCTGGGAGTGGCGGGGATGCCCTCAAGGCAGCTACCTCTCCCCGCTTCTATGGTGCCTAGTGATGGACGGTCTCCTGGAACGCCTAACCTCGGAGGGATACAGTGATACCCAGGCTTACGCCGATGATGACGTGGTTCTAGTCGTGGGCCGGTGTAGGGCGTCGGGTAGGTTCGAGGAGGGTCAGAGGCAGAGAGTGGTTAGGTAATGGGACGGCGGGATAGGCAAAAATGGCCCACTCGTGGCCTAATTGCCAGGCTGAGGCCGCCCCTTTACTACTACTACTACTACTACTACTACTACTACTACTACTACTACTACTACTACTAACGATAATAATGATTATTATGTAAATACCAATCACATAATAAAACCAAAAATATGAAATTCAATTTAAAATTAAACTTTCTGAATAATAATTTTTTTCTAAATTAATCAAGAAAACTGTGTAATTTCATACTAGGTTTTTCTATTTTCATGCTAGAATCGTTATTGAATGTATTATACAGAAATTAATTACTGCCATTAAAAGTCGAAGAGTGAATAAAAAAAATCTAAAACTATAAAAAGTATTAATTTTACAGAGAAAAAGATCTTCTAATAAAAGTATCGATATTATTTACCTGGACAAAGGTGGGGCGGAACTAATCCTTTAACTTCATTAGATAAACTAATTAAACATCCTCCCTCATCACCTAACTGTTCTACTTTGCACATAACTCTTTCACCTGGTTGATACTGGCAAATATCCCAGCCGTGGTTACGACCAAAGTCTCTAAGGTACTTTATGTCTGCTAAATGTTGACTGAAGTAACTAACAACTGTCTGGAAAAAAAACCATAATTATTTCACAAAGTAACTCAATTTAATGTAGCCATATTTACTTCAACGCTATTATCAAAAGCTGTCTTAATAGACAAATTGATCTCCTTAGTTTCATGATTTATAGTTAATATTTTAGCTACAATACTTTGGTCTTTTAAAAATTTTGGTAAAGATTCTCCTTTACTGACAATGTCCTAAAACAAAAATGACAGTAAGTTCAAAATTATACATGATCTAATATTTAACGAATTTTACCTCAATCTTAATTAAAATATTATCTGTGAAATCAAAAATCAAAGGTGAAACATAGATTCCTGCATTACAATTAGAAACGTATGAACATCTTAAAAGAAATCCTGGTCGAAGATTTTCAAAATTTCTTATCCTGATTGTTTTTCGTCTCTTATTTGCTAAGGCTTCTCTTCTGGATAAAATAAAAGGACTGCTTTTGTTACTTACACACAATAAATCCGGCATTACATCACCTGTTTTGAGAGTTTCTAAAAAAGTGTAGGTTTGTTATTTGCATGCAATTTCACAAATAATGTTTGTATAAAAGTGGGATATTTATGAGTAATATTCATATCTGATAAGATTGGTCAAATCAAAGTAAACCAAATGTTTTTATTGTTTCTTAAATTTAAATTTATAGTTATGCGATTTACTCACTCGTATAGGTATTATGTAATTTGTCTTTTATTGATTGAAGTACAAAGTGATTACTTAATGTTGATGTCATCAATGAAACATATTTTTCTATCATCTATGAAGTAATGGGCCGATGAAAAATCGGTATTTTATTATTTAATCCATTTAGATTATTTTAATATTGAAAATGTTGTGACTATTAATTTGAATTCAAAACAGAACACATATTGTATTGTATAAAAAAACTTCCATTGACTTCTGCGCCACGGCAAATGCTGTGTCCGCGCCGAGACTTATTTAGCCTGAAGTATATACCCATACAAACTGATGTACAAAAGGAGATGAAGCGATTCCCAGCTCTTCTCAACTCACAGCAGATTGTATCTGTATGTAGCCACTTACGATACTACTAATATAGAAGATGAGTCTGATGAGAATAATTGAAAATTGTTTTAACTTGAAATGAAAAAATGAAAGGAATACAAAAACAAAGAAAAAGTATAGAAACAATAAAAAAAAATTTTAATTAAAAAATACAAAAAAATAAAAAACAAAAAATGGTACTGCATCTCTTCCAACACCCTAGTCATTAGTCCTGGGTGATGCTAGTGGGAAGATAAATTATAAATAAATTTATACTTAATCCTCATTCATATTAAATATTTTAAACATTTTATCATAAAAAATAAAATCATATAAAATAAAATAGATGTTAAATCGTGAATATGATTATTAAATATACATTATCTAAGAAGGAATTTTCGCTGACTAATTTTGCTTTTCATCCACTATATGGCAGGGCAAGCGAAGAGTAATGCAGTGGATTTACGGCCGTATATTGATCGTTATAACCGATAGACTCTGTGGTAAATATATATAATAACGTGTCACTAAATCCGAAATGTCATAAACGGTGTCGTAGTAAACAATATTTTCATATGGTATTTTTAAAGGATTTAATCGGGACTTCCAAATTCAGTCGTTATATCCAATAGGTCGCATAAAGCAATATTGTTATAACCAATTTTCACTGTATATCAATCAGGAATAGATAAACAAAGACACAAGTTCTTTCACGAAGATCATTCACACCTCAGAACGGAAAGTTTCTTTTGAGCAATACAATATCAATAACCACAAATGTTCATAAAAAAATATGATAATCCTTCATACTCACTCAAAATTGTAGAACACAAGGATAAAGAAGAACTGAGATGGTTAACTGGGACAACACCTAACATTACACCCTTTGCCGATTTAATGTCAACCCTATCTTTGTGTATTTTACCAACAGTTCCTCTAATCTTCTGTCCAATTTTTATGTTTACTTCTCTTTTAAAGCTTGCAGGTGGCTTTAATGTTAAAATTACTTTGTCACCTTTCACACCCAAAGCCCAGGGATTAATCTAGAAAAAAACCATTATATCATAAAACTGTACAGGTTTTTTTTTTTAGTTGGTGTTTTCCTTTGAATTCAATATAGGACCAAACAAAGTAAGCAAATTTCTCAAATAACATTATTTTTTAATAGTTAATAGTCGTTAGAAATACATAATTGTTTTCTTTTTGTTTTATACTGGTAACACACACGACGAGACATTTCATAAAAGTAGTGATGATCTGGATTTTAAACAGTGAACATGCTGGAAGACTTAGGCCATCTAGAATGTTGTAAATCGAAGAAGACGTTTTAGGTATCATTTAACACTAATCTATTTTATTATACACGAGGAATCTCTTGCAACTGTTTACAAACTACTTTATGTGGCAATCAACTTTATTCACATCACATGCAGCAAGATCAAACTTTAATGCTTGAAGACTTTTTAAAAAGAACACAGTTTGATGAATAGCAAAACACTTGCGATAACAATTTCACTAAATTTGTTCTAGTAATGGATGAGGAAACTTTTAAAGTGTTTGTAAATAGGTATGTATCGCTATGAAAAATCCCTACATTATGATACTCCATTTTATTTTAGACATGCGATTATATAAATACTGAATATCCCGACATGTCAAAGAGCTTCAATGAATCAATATCATTGATAGTGTAACAAAGGCAAAACCATTCTTAATGTGCCCTTGAGAATACTCTCAAATGTTAAGAACAATGGTTGAGTAATGCCTGCAATGTAGTGTTCGGATTAAAGAGGTTGCACTGTATAGAATATTTTCGTCATTTTCAAACAAAATTTAAATATCACGTTTTTTAATTTTATAAATGCATGGCCTCCAAGGTTGCCAGACTGTAATTCATACGATTCACCACTGGCTTACATGAAAAGTTTGCAACAATTAACAAAGTGGAAGAATTATTTGAAACAGAAAATGCTGTGGAAATAATTCAGGGAAAACACTTGTTTCTAACAGCATGTGTTGCGTTGTGGATACACTGAATGATAGCTTGTGGGATGAAAGCAATAAAAGGTTAGTTGTTATTTATAGTTCTTCAAAAAATGTTATATGGAAAATGTTCTTACTTTGTAAGATTCTATGAAGTGTTAAAAAGAAAATTTAAACTTAAAAATCACTATAGTACACTATAAGATATTAAATTTACCACTTGTCCTCTATAAAAGTATTCCGTTGGATTTACTTTTATAACACCATCTTCATCCCCAAGACGTTGCCTGCTTATCCAGCCCATTACATTATTGTAGAAAACTACTGATGCTCCTGCTAACTTAGTTTTAACTACTACACCAGAATACTGATCACCTCTTTTTACTTGATCCAATGAAGTCAAACACTTTTCAGAGTCGACAAGTCCTGATTTAAAAGTAAATATTATATTATCCTCTTTTGTGAACAGCACCCTACAATTTAATATATTTCAATTATTTACGGTAAAGTAAAAACAAACTATTTTAAGACAAAATTGGATTATATAAAATTGAACCTACCTTGCATTGACTTTATCTCCCGGTTTGAATTTTTTCTGAACACTTTCACTATATTCAACGTTGGAAATGTGCAGATTAGGTACGAAGCCTCTAATATGACCAGAAACTACAACTAGACCCTCAGGCTTCACAGAATCTATAGTAACATTAAGTAATTGGCCAACACTAATATCTTTATTACAAAATAGCTTCTCTTTTACTAAAGCTTGGTCGAGAGCACAAATATACATCTTTGACATATGACTGTAGTCTAAAATTCTACAAGTATGAGTACTTCCCACAGGAAACTTATTAGGAATGGCTTCAGATATATCTAAATTTGGATTTTTTGGTAATGCATGCATAAGCCTTCTGTTGGTAACAAAACATTTTTCTTTGGAAGGAAGCTTTAGATAAATTCCATTGTATACTTTGGATATAACCTAAATAAAATACATAATTACAACTTACACACAGGATGTTCAGGAGATGATAAGCAGTCTCATGTTGGGTAGGTCTAGCAAAAATCATGTCACAAATTTATATAATTTTTTTTCTTTGGGATCATCTCATTTTGGTTACAACTTTTTTTGTTACTGAGTAATTTTGGATAATTTTTCGATCGAAATTATGTTATTTGAAGCTACTGTCACTAATATTTACCGAGAGCTACTTTTAGGGATGCCCTGGGTCAGAGTACCCTTAATAGTGTTGGCATCTAAAAAATGTATGCATCTGCTTTTTAATTTTTATCTATGATTTTTAAATTTCCATACTCTTTTAAGTGAAAACGATATACCCAATTGTTTATCGATACAATGAACCATCTTCAAGATAAATGTGTGTAGCAATGAAAATACTATCAGATCTAACAGTTAAGAATATGCATTTATTTTACTACATAAACAACCAATTGTTGTTTTCAGGCATTTATTACTATGACGGTTGCCTTTTTCATTTCGGGAATCGAGAAAAAAACAAATTAATCATATTATATGGTTTTTTATTTTTCAATATATTCTGCATGAAAATCAATAGGTATATGCGCTTGAAGCACTTTTTTTATTCCGATCGAGGTACCTCCAGAACATGCATTCTGAATATATTAACTGCTTCTTCGGGCATCAAAAAACGTTGACCTGGTAATTTATTATTTATTTATTTATTTCATATTTATTCTTCAAATAATACAATTTTCACCAAAAATTATCTAAATTTAATGATAATCAAAAAACTTATAGTAAAAAATCAATTTTCAACGCTTAATACATATCATGAGCTAATATCTCCACAGAACAAGTTTGTAAAATATTTTATATACATTTGACATTATTTTTTCGAGACCTACCCAAATCCAAGAAATTGCCTGTCAATATCGGGACACCCTGTATATGGAAATTTATTATAAATTTTCAAAATATTCTAACCTTAGCTGAAAATATTTCACCCACAGCATGAGGAGGTGGGGGCACGGTATCTAAATTTCGTAAAGTAAAATGTGTTATTTTTGTATTCGGTTCTATATATAGAACAAATGCCATTATGAATTTCCCTTCCTTATAAAAATCTAATTCATCCGATGAAGATTTTAGTTGAGTCTGATCTATATAACCAAAGTAATTACTTAAAAACTTTCCTTGAATACCATTAGATGTTACCTAAAAATATATAATTCTTACTTGAGAAAACATCATTTCAATACTACGTATACCTTTTCAGTAACTATTTCCATTTGCATACCAGGTATGATATCGTGTAAACTATTTATTTCTTCAGTTTTTAAATCTTTAACATGTTGAATTTTTGAACTAACTCTTATTGTTGTAACAGAACTTGTACTTTCACTTTTGTGAACTGCACACCACATGGGTTCACCAATTGCTAAAAAATATGTGTATAATGATTTAAGTATTCAAAACAAATTCCTATAGAAAATATTATTGTCTAATATATTTTTTATAATCAATTATCAATTTATTATTATTTTATTATTATCCTCAGAAGACCATATATTTACTATTTTATTTTAGTACTTACATAAGAGTTTTCCTTCATCAACATTTTTTGAGGGTAAGAATACTCTACAATTTTTAACACCAAGACTCATTTCATAACCATGATCAAGGACAGACTGAACGCATCCCCAAACTAGCATTCCTTTTTTAAAAGAGTCGTGAGATTTTTCATAATTAATATCACTTGGTTTTAAAGAGCACTTCACTTTTGTCCCCTTTTCTTCATTTTCAATACTTAAAACTTTTACAATAACAAACTGTCCAATTTTAAACATATCTCTCAAAACATCTTGACTCTAAAATAAACAAAAATAATTTTAATAAATGTTTCTACAGCTGAAAGTTTTCAGAATTACTAATATTGACTAAAAAACTACAAAATAATTATTTAATCTCAAACATAATTCTTACCTCTTCATTTTCTTCTAATATATTACTTAAATGTTTGGTGAAAGCATCCGAGATGTTAGTTATATGTACAAAACCAAAAGTTAAGCCTGGCAATTCGACTTCTAATGAAAAATTTGTTATATGCCTAATACAGCCCAATATAATCATACCCTCTTGAATTTTCTAAAAAAAAAATAATAAAAATATACCGAATTTAAATATTATATTTTTTAGAATGTTAAATACTCACATTATAAGACAAAGTTCCTTGTATTTTTAAGGAATTATGAAACGTATCGTCAGTAGCAGTTTCCTTTTGATTTCTTTTAGATTTTTTAGATTTCTTTACCTTATGGATATTTTCTGTATGAAATAACTGAAATTCTAATAATTAATTTCAGGATATCCAAACATCAAAAACATACATACATTTTCATCTTTTGGCCTTTTCTGAGGCAAATTTACTTTTCTACAACCTCGAGGAAAGTTTTCTTCTTCAGCAGAGGTCATCTTTAGGGCCAATTTAGTGGCACAAACTATCAGCAAGCAAACAAACAAACAAAATATATCATTTGATCTTGATACTAAACACTAAGGAACTAATCTATCCGAACTAAACCAACGTAAACGTAAACTACCACAAATTACAAATTCGATTAACATAACCTTTTTCAAACATGTCACGTGGTTTACACAGAGCACGGAAAAATAATGTATAAGAATATTTTTCAACATGAGTTCATTCTCGTGCGAGCGATCGAACTGAGCGGACGTGTTTATTTGTGAAGTGAAGTGCATTGCAACGAGCAAGATCTACCTGCCTTTATTAAGGCTACCTGGAAAGAATCCCTTTCTTTCCTCTTAACCACCGACCTAATCCCCGGCTTAAGCATAGAGGCCGTCGGCATCTTTGTTACAGG